CATTTTGAAAATCTCCAACTGCTAAGTGGATCTGCAATGAAAAACAAGAGGAAAAAAGCCTACACAAAAATAAGTAGAAAAAAAACTGCCACCATTGTTTGAAGATGTCGAAAAATCAACTCAGTTGTCCCCGAGCAACGCTTGACTTCAACCCATGTACGTCCAAAGCTCATTGTATCTCATCTTTAGCCAGGGCTTTGACTTTGGGTCTATTATAATATTGGCCACCACGAGACCTATACATATTTTTGGCACATGGGTGCGAAAGCCTTGGACAGTTCTTTAGGACGGCTTTGTCCTGAAGACAAGAGGGTAAAAGGTTAAAGGGGAAACAAATATACAAAAGATTAGTTTGTTTTTCCCATGAAGTGCAAAGACGAAAACAAATCTCGCGGAAAAGACTACTAAAAAGTAAATATGTTTAAAAAAATCCCTCATGTGTATCAATGACTCGAGGTGTTCTTTGTTTATTAACTTTTTAAAACACTTTCCTAAACAGCCCAGATTTGCAACAAAAACAGCTTCCACCATTATCATAACTCTTTTCAATTAACATTTCTAAATGCCATATTAAGCCAAATGAATAAAGCTGTAATATTTTCGTGATCTGGCCGGTAATTAATACTACGGCAGAGTTTTGAAGTTAACGCTATATGGGCATTGGGGGCGGTGTTATTATTTTTTTTCTATTTGTATGTAATGGTAGCGTTGACAAATGAGAGCGGTAAATATTCCTACAAAAAGCGGCAGTTTTAAACCGAAAAAAATGTAAAAAAAAATAAAGCTAACAGCAATGACGAGTCATTGACATTCGCAGCGAACACTGACTGAACTAGAAAACTTACAAATCCGCATTCGAAAAATGTGATAATTGCAATGGACTACAATGTAAGCGAAGAAGAGTTATGGGGTGTTAATGGAAGAGGAAAATTTAAACCGAATGGTTTTTTACTCTAAGGTTGTCGATAATTAATTATATATCTTTCATCAAAGCAGTTATTATGGCGTTGTTTTGAAGAAGTTCAGGTATAACTTTTTTAACTTTTTAAACCTTTTTTTCAAAATTGATGGGTAGAACCAATAAAGTTCAGTATTTATAGTTTCAACTTTCTTGTAAGAGTGTTTTAGACTACCAAATCCGTTTTATAAACATGTTAATTTATTTACAAATATATTTGTATATAAAAACGTAAAAAAAAGTCCAAAACAGAAGCTTCGCTAATTGGCAGATTTAGTGGAAAGAAGGAGAAAAACAGAAAAACAACACGAATGAAGATCTCTGTCAATTTACGGACTGCTAGGCATACAAAAAGCTTCTATTGTTCCTGGCCAAATTGGCTTAATTTATTTGGGCATGCTTTCATCACATGCGTTCGGGCCAAAAAAGGATGGGCCGGCAAGGGGAGTCGAGTCGAGCCAGAGCAGGTAACTCCGGATGAGCATTACCGGCATTGAGGTGTTAATAGCCAGTCGCACGTTTACCAAAGCAGGGCAAAGATGCTGAAGCTGAATTCTAAGAACGCAGTTTCTCTCGACGATGAATATACAATATACCATATACAATGTGGTTATACGAAAGTACACGTATCAGAAATGAAATTAAACAAAATCCCCCCGGCAAATCCAATCGTAATTACTGCTCCGTTCACTCTCCCGTGACCGACTCACTTCAAATGCGATAAAAATATTTGCTGCGGGACTAGGAAGTTGGGACCACTAATTGCTTGGGGAAAAAGTTTTAAACAAATGAAGTGGAATATAATAAAAATAATCACCAAGTTCACAAAGGAATCTTTCGAAATAAAAATATATATTTCTCAGAAAATCTCAGCGGTATTGATAAGACATACATATATTGATATATATATGCTTACAAAATGTTGGTAACAAAACCTGCAACATTGTCCATCAAAATCCACCGCTCCCCAGCATAATTTGTTCCCCTTTTGCTTTTAATATGTTCGTAACTTTTTCAGTTTATTTTGGTTGGCTTGTTTACCATTTTTTTTTATTTTTATTAACGTTATTAGCTAATTTTAGCCAACCCAAAATGGCGACCTGTGTGAGCTTCGCTAACGACCGAAAACTTTTGTTGCTGTTTTTTCAGCTTGGCTATTATTTATGAGCTTTTTTGTGATTTGTTTTGATTTTATTTGGCCCATACAGACACTCGAAATCAGCTTGTGCTCAGTTATTAGGCTCTGGTGCATTGTATTTCTGAGATACTCGCATGTATCCGGCCGATACTTGCATTGAATTTGCTTTGCTTTTCTCGTTTTTAGTTAGTTAGTGTTTTATGACTTTTTCTGTATTCACTCCACACAATTCCCAGGCCTAAGACGGTGCCACCTCGCCGCTTGGTACCTCCAAGCACCCGCTGGCCCGGCCTCCCCCGGATTCCCCGCCGCCCGGCTATCGGGCCAAATCACAGTAGTTCCAGCCGGAGACGTAGCCAAAGCCGGGTGCCAATTTGCGATTTAAGCAAAGCGAATCTTTCTCTCTGTTTTTCTCGTATTTTTTTTAAGCCTGGCTAAAGATATTTATTGTCGGCTAAAAAAACCCCGATCGTAAAACCTGAAATCGCTGGACCCTTGCGGGAATCATTCAGACGTACAGCCGTACCATCACAGTTTTTGAACGATTAATTTTAAGTTGATTTATAGGGAGGTTATCTTCAAATACTGGATATTTCTATAAAAAAGCAATGAATATTTCAAATCAATTCAATTGCAAGCAGTATAACATAGTATTAATTTGATAACAAAGTTTCTAAGAAGCTATACTGTGTATTATATTTCCGTTTTTAAATGATAAGCTTATATATTTAGATTAGGTTCTACGTAAAAAATAAGACTATGTATGCTAATTCATTTAAGAGTATTAGGCAAAAGAAGGGAAAAAACTTAAGGCAGGTCAATGGGGATCGCACTCGCTTGAATATCATCAGATTGTAAAACCTGAAACTTTTAGATGGGGAATTTCCAGCAGTGGGTTGTTTTGCGTTAACTTCTAGAACACATGTCATCTGTCCCCTGACTTTTGGATAGGAACCTCTGAAATTAAGATGTAGCCGTATTGCCAATTGGAGACCTATTTTTTATTGTCCCGCAGAGTCCAGTGATGCAATGAGAAATTTATTTTGCTGCTCATTGTGGCATGCAAATTAGGGAACCCACAAAAAAAGACCGTAATTAATAAAGTGGCAGCAACAAAAGAAAGAAAATGTAAATAAGAGCCCTGGGATTAGCTAGATATGGGATGATTGCAATTAGAGGGATGCTGGGCCCCATCTCGCATCTCCACTTTCGCGTTGCATAAACAGCAACAAAGAAAGCCACTTCATTTGGGTTTATTAACTAATCTCTTGAGTTTTGACCAACTCCAAACTCTGTTTTTATTATTTGCGCCGGCTGGCCGTTTGGTTCGTTGGCTTGTGACATTTTAATCATAAACCCTAAGACTTATGCAATTAACGAAGAGAGTAGGAAAAAAACGGATCTCCTCCAGGTTGCATAACCACTGAGAGGTTAGGCGGCAGGCGGGTCCAATGTTGGGTCACCGAAATAGATAATAAACGAGCATCTAGCATGATATAAAGCCAAGCGCACCCAATGAGAAGGAAAAAATCAAAACAAAATACGAAAATCTCCAAAAAAAAGATCCAAAGATGATTTGTAGGAAGCGAGGAAAGAAATTGGTGGGCCGACATGGCGTATGAGCAATGTCGATACCGGATACCAATAAAAAGAAAGATGGAAAGCCTTTTATTTTTGTAGAAAAATCTATAATATTCAAAATTGTCTAATAAACTTTTACAACAAATATCCAAGTTTTAGACTGACTACAAATCATTAAACAATTAATTACCCTTTAAAGTCTTCTCATAGATTAAAAGTAATTCAAAGAATTGTTTAAACTAAAATTATGGGCAATCTGAACCAAACAGCAGGCGACGGCAGCTGTTCCAGCAATCAAGATGAACGCTGAATATACAGCATAAGTCATATATACTATATATAATATATGGCTGGTCTGCCACCGATCTGCAGCTGTATTGGCAAGTGCAATGCTTCGGCCAGCTACAAGTTAGTACAATGGAAAAAAAATGTAAAAAAAAAATAGTACATCAGAAAAACTTAATGTTTTTTTCGTAAGCAACTTCAAGTGGTGCAACAACTACAACACCAAGTTGCAGTCTCAGTCGGCGTCTCAGTCTCAGTCGACGAATGCGTCGGCAGCAGGTCTACAAACGGGGAGCAAGTTATACGAGATCTGCCATGGTTGGTAATTTGTGGGTACGAGTGTGTTGGCGGAGTAGTACCTTTAATTTTTAGTGACTCGTTGAAGCTTTTTGGCCAGGCCTACCATACAGGTATACCCTACATCGTTCACATAATATTAGTTGTTCTGCTTTAAGAGATAATCAACTGAATCTAATTGAAAGAATGTCTGGCTAATCGTTAGACAAACAAGAGAAAAGCCTCATTCAAACCATCACAAAGCTTCTAAAAATAGTTGTGTGTTCAAATCATTAAATCATTTAATATAATTTTATTTTTAATCTCAATTCGCGATCGGCTAATTGTCCAAAAAATACAACTATCACGTGTGTAGCTGGTTCGGAGAGTCTAAAAAACCCGAAAGCTTATTTTTTTTTTCACCTGAGCTTAGCTTTAGAAGGTACAGTAGGTATTGGTTGGTTGAGACTTTAAACATTATTTTGTTTCCAATTTATGTAGTCGGTTGATCTTTTTGTGTTATCACTGTACCCTTATTAAAGCCTGTTTGTGTTAGTAAGCCAGCCAGCCAGCTTTAGCCCATTTTATTTTTATTTTTTGTATTTTTTGTTTTTAGTTCAACTTTTGTTTGTTGTTCGTTTGCACTTCGGATCGTTCGTTTTTTACCTTCGTGCCGATCTTGCAGCTGTCGCGGTCGACGTCGACGGCTCAGCTGCCGCGCTGCCAGCGACAACGAAAAAGTTTTAAATCTGGTAGAAAAATCCGAAACGAAACGCGTTTGTGGCTTCAGACGGCGAGTGGCAGTCGTGCAACCAAGTCGTACTATTCCAAAGTTTTCGAAGGCCAAAATCCCCTCTACTGAAAAGTTGGTCAGGCAACTTTTTCAACCAACCTAACCCGTACACACCACCAACCAGATACAACGCAAAAAGATTTTACGCAAAAAAGCAATCCTTTTACTTTTAAACAATTTTTGGATACATCCTCTATGTAAGTGGACGAAAATCGAGATCCTTGAAAAACTAAAAAGTGACAAGTGACTGAGAAAAGTGCAAGGCAATAGTACAATGGACATATAAATATATGAACTGTTTGCCATCAGTTGGCCTTGCTTGGATTAAGGAGCTGTAACTGATTCCATATATTTTTGTAGTGCTATAGATGACCGAGAAGGATACCGTCTCGATGGCTACCGTGCAGATGAAGCCCGACTATGCGGCTAGCGAGGTCTACAGCACCGCTAGCGAGCCGCCACCGGTGAGTACAGTGAAGCCTTAATGGCTACCCTTTTTCGTTTATTGTGTGTGTGACAAATAGCGCAACTAATTAGCCAAACAAGAAACAAATTCCTAATTTTGAGCGGCAATTATTTGCGCTACTTTGAAATCAGTCTGCGGATCTGTGGATCTATGGATCTTGTTGTTATTTTTAGTCAACGTTGATTGGCCAGCAGCCGTCGGCCAAGTGGGTTAGAAAAATGCCAGGGTCACCACTTGGAGTTATTGCATCCGCTTGCGTACCACAGGGCGTATGCGCGATCTGTCTGCACGCAGGCGCAAACGTGAGCTGCATTTTCACCAAACGGGGGAGCCTGCTGGCTACCGCCTGCTAGCTGCCATTGCATGCATAAGCAATTTAAAATCCACAATCCCCGAGCCCCATTAATGTGCAATTTTAAAAATTATTATTGTCTGACAGCAAGGGATTGCATGCAACGTGAGCGGCTTTGACAATCGCACTGTCTTCGAGTTGACATTTCCCTGAGATGGCCGTGTATCTGCAAGATACAAGATACTGGTACGCCTCACCGAGCAATTCTCGGCAAGGTGTGAATGGATCTGTGTTTCCATTATGGCTGAACAAATAGAAAACCACCTTAATCCGAATCTCGGAGAGCTCTAATGGTTCAGTCACGATACGCTAATAACGCAAAACCTAAACAAATACGGTTTATATTAGATATTGTATATACCATATACCTTTGTGACCGACCGACCGACCGAGTACTTTGACTTGTTCAACCCGTTTCGCCAGTCATTCCATATTTATTTACGTATCTAGTATACCACTGGAAAATTATTAGTTCTCTGGGTCCGATTCTGTGCGAGTTTGTGTGTGCGTTTGTGTGGGTTAAATAAAATTTGCATCAATTGCACTTTGCATTTTTCATTTGACATTCAACAACCAGCATCCGCATCAGCCATAAAATTATTTGCGCACAGAGGGTTTCCCCCACGGGCCTATTTGCCTATTTCGGCTTACCTGGCAAATAGTTATATAACAGGCTGACTTAAAGTGGCTTCACTCAAAGTGAGTTTCGTCTTCTTTTTTAGATACTTTTATTTTCATTTATAAATGCATTCATTAATCCAAGCCAATCACTTGAGTATGATTTGTAAAGCCCATAGCCTGACCTTTCTAATAACTCAACAGTCGATAGTCAGTCAGGCCATCAATCAATCAGTTTCTCAATCAATGTTAGCCTTCACAAGAGCGACCCTTGGCCAAAAGCTTTCCCCTTTTTGTGCATTATTTACCTTTAAGTCATATGTGTTAGGTGTTTTTTTCCCCTCAAGTATTTTTAAGCGACCCCTTGCCGGTCCCTCTGATGCAGTACAATCTCATTAACTTTTTTGTCTTTTCTTGTTTTTATGTACTTTTCCAATCGCATATTTCTGTGTGTGACTGTGTGTGCACACCACTCGAAACAAAAACCACAAAAACCGATTTTCTTTCGTTTGTGAATGCAAAAATAAAAAAAAAAAATAATAAACAAAAAACTGAACTCGAACCCGAACCCGAAACCGTGATTGACAATATGAAATTTTCTCTATCCCCCCGCACACACGCCATCACGACACTCCACCAAACCAACCACAGATGGGATTTTTTAACTTTAATCATCAGGTTTGTCGCTCAAGTCTTTTGTTTGCACAAAATCCTCACGAAAAAATTAAAACCTCATCAGCGCTGGCTTTAGATAGCCGTAAATATGTAGAGTAGAGTATGAACTAGAGTGCCAGACGATCCATCCATTCACTTCCACTTCACTTGATGATGATGATGATGATCACCGTAACTCACTCACAATTCACTTTCGCAATTGCATTTTGGGGCCACACCAGCCACGCACGTAAAGGTGTTAAAAAACATTGCACATTTCGCTGCACACACACATTCCCGCACACATCATACCCATCGGATAGATATATAGATATGGATACATCCAAAAAGAGGCCTCACCTGACTGCACCCACACCCACTCCTAAAAACACCAAAAACAAAAAAACCTTAAACCAAGACTCTTTGGTTTTTTTCAGCCTCTTTAAATTTTCTCTTGGGCTCGACTCTGTCATTTCCTCAATTTTGCGGTGGGTTTCCTGTTATGCAATCATAGACCTCAATGCGGAATGATTTTTTACTTCATGCGCATATACCTATGTATACTTTTTTGTTGATATTTCTTTTCTTTGGCTTTTTGCATAAACTTGTAAATTTTTGCACCTTAAGCGGAAAGCTAAAATATTAGTCACGCCAAATACTCTGCTGACATAGCAAGTATTTGCGATGATCTAAGACGGAGTTGATTAAAACCATTTTACAAAACATTTGTCAAAACAATTACATGATATGACCAAAAGAAATGAGTTTAAAAAGCTGCTGCCATTATTTTTGCTGCATCAGCCAGAAATTACTTATTCATTTTGAACATTTTTACCAATCATTACTAAGACGATTTCTAATATGTAGTATACTTGTATTATTATGCAAATTAATAATTCTATGGTTGATTTTCTATCTTAATTAAATTGCAACATTTTTCTGCACAAAGCACCCCTATAAAAACTAAACTTTTGGAGTCACTTTGAAGGGGAAAACGTGCTTGGCCGCGCTGGGAGTACTTTTGTGGAGTAAGGTCGCTGCTTTTACCTGACCCCCAAAATAGTACCCGGCGAGAGGTCATAGACAAAAGAGCACGTAGTAATACTAAGCTGCATACATAACACCTCATGGCTAATCTCGATTTCTATTTGCTTTTTCCAGGCCTACAAGCGCCAGGCGAATTCGGTGAAAATTGCCAAGATCACCGCTTTTACGATCATCGTTTCCTCTTTCGTTCTGGGATCCTTTATCCTGGCCTCGTCCTATCTCCAGGCCAAGGCCTCTTGCGATCAGGTTCAGGCTCTTGACTCTGTCTTGGAGAAGGAGCTGATGCTCGAGACTCTGCAGCAGGTGGGCAAGGTAAGTTGAACCCATTAAGTTATATACATACAAATAAAACATATAGCTATAATATAACCGTTGCGCTTCAATGATCCGCTTCCAAGCCAGATTAGTATCGCGTTCGGACTCTGAGTTGAAAAATTATATTGTTGGCTAATAATGGTTCGCATCGTTTGGCTGAACATACCACAGATTGAACTCCCCTCCCAAAAAAATTCGAATATTAAGGCAAATTAAATATAATTACCGGAAAATGTAGGTACAATCTGTGGTAGCCGAAAAATATTCACCTATTCGTGTGGAGTTCGGTGTAATTTTCCAGAAATATTTTCGATTGCACGCGCTATTAGTTCCACGGCACCGGAGACTTGTGACAGGCACTGTGGCGGGATCGGGGCGTATACTGCTGGCATGAAATGTGATACGTAGGCGTAGCAACTGTTTCGGATTTCAGGAAAATTTTCGTGAGGAGAAACTTGTAAATAAAAACGAAAACAGTTGGTGAATTTTGGACCAGACAGCTTAATGGCTTTTTCCAAGTTTTTAATGTGTTTTTGTGGCAGCTCACATTTAGATAAGAATCACTAACCAAAAAAAAATATTGTTCATAAAAACGAAAATATTCGACAACTAATTACTGGTTCGTGATTACTTTGACATGTCAGCTTCGGATATTTTTGCTGTAAAATAAATTTGTAATTACCCTGCCATAACTCGAATAACAAATTATTAAACAATTTCGCCAAGTAATATTTGTTTTATGGTGCAGTAAGCGATTTCCTATTGCCACCTATTTGCAAATTCGATTGAAGTTGATTGAATAAGCGCCATTAAAGCCATTTCGCATATTCGCATGTAATGGCCAACATAAAATGTTCAATTGTGTGCTTCCTTGAGAAATTTCACGCATGTAACCGTAACCAAATGGTCATTAAATAGCGAAAAAAAGTAACAACTTTATAGCCACGCCATAAAACAATGGATATCAAGAGATTGATGGTGGTTATGAGCGATGGCCAGTGACTGGGCAGGGAGCACTACTCATAATTCAAGCCTAATGACTTTTCGAAATAATGCGTCTGAATTTGTGTCATCAATATTCAATTAGTCGATATGGAAAGTGCAAAATTAAACAAATCACACTAATATGCTGCAGAAATCGCAAATCGTTTTTAATGCTCTGATGAGGTTATTCAACCCGAATGACTTATGTAAACGAATGAACGAACAAACTTGGCGAATGCAACGATAAATTCAATCAAGCGAAATTCCCATAATTTGACGCTTAAGTGGACACCAAAATGGTGGAGTTGCCTCTGGAGCTTGCGACATAATAACCAAAGAGCAGCAGCAGCAGCAGCCACATCAGCAGCAGCAACAGCAGTGGCAAACAATTGCGAATCAAATGCCAGCAGACAAAGTGAAAGCAGCGATCGTGCAGTATAGTACAGTACAGTAGTAACTACCACAAACAAAACATGTTGCAAGTCACATACATACTTACATTCAACATAACAGAAACAAAAAATGTTTGTAATCCACTGAAGCGGGCGTGGGCGCAGCAATTGTTGCTGCTGGGGCATCCGAAATGCCAGAGATCATCAGCAGCAGTTGCAAGTTGCAACTGGAGATGGTCCGAAAATCGTGAAAGTAATTTTATTTCAATGCAAGTTCCCTTGATGTTGCGAGTGCCACTGTTATGTGATCAGTTTCAAGCAACCTTTTTTTGTATTATTAAGATTATTATGCGATATATGGAGGTATATGTGCCAGCGATTGCAGTTAATTGGATTTGGTTTTAATAAATAAGAGTGAAAGTTACCAATTATTGCTGAGAGCACTCCAATCAACAACTGTTATTGCTGTGACTTTAAATATTTATCCATCAACAGAAAGAGTTTTTTTGTAAATATTAACACCTTTAGTTGAAACAGTTGTTAAAAACCAGGAGTTGCTGTTAAGTTGTGAAAAGTTTTCAAGAATTTGTAAGATCGCAGTTGATTTCTTTTCCTGATGAAGATCTTCTCACGTGGCCATCTCTTGCAACAGCCGTAATGCAATTTAGCTGTCATTTTTGGTCTTTGGGATTTTTTTCTTCTATTTGGTTTCATTTGCCGGCTGGCGCCGCTTGGCACCGTCCAAATCACCAGGCAGCCGAACAACCTTTCAGCCAAACATCCCAGGCATCCAACAAAAAGCCATCAGCTTTTTAGACCGGAGTCTGAAGACCGGAGAGCGATGGAGTTCCATTGTGGTTGCGGCCATTGCTGTTGACTGTTTGCCATTTAAGGCAAGTTGCGCGCTTGAGTCTTTCGTTTTTTTTTCAATTTTTTTATTTTGCTTTTTTTTTGGGACAAAGCAAATGGTTTTTGGCCTGACGATTATGTAATATACAGACACAAAGACACTAGTGTGTGGACAACCACATACGTAAATATAATTTATTTGCTGTTGTGCAAAATTGTTTGCCACTTTACCTAAAAAGAATTAAAAGAAAGACACTGAGACTGAGTCTGAGTCTGTGTCTGTGGTTGAGGAGAGGCGAATGAAAAACTTATTATGCTGGCTAAGCAAATTGATTTTTTATGGATGATTTCCCTAAAGAAATTACCCGGCTCCGCCTCTAGAATTTCAATTGCAATCCGTCCTGACTTGACGTGCGTCAGTCAGCCGGGCTATAAATAAAAGTTTGCAAAATAAATGCCTACGTATGTCCGTCTGTCTGCCTGTCTGTCATTTTAATTGCACAAAGCGTTCAATTTGTAATCATTTAATTGTCATCTTAATGCGACTCCAGTCTTGTCTCTTGGCTCGTCTCCGCTCTGGCCAAAAACAAATTAGGGGCCAGACAAATGTTCTCATTGTATTATAATAGATCTTATCTCCAGTCCCCGCCACTGGCCTTGAAATCCAACTACGAGCTGAAAAAGATTTAGAAAAAAAAACACTAAATAAATAAACACACAATCAATCTGAGCGCCGGGACTTGTTTGCTGAACTGGTTCGGGTTCGGGTTCGGTTTCAGTTTCGGTTTCATTTTTTTGCTGTTTTCCTCTTACATATGATTTTAAAGTGAAATTTTCAGATTGTGTGTCACCTGGACGGGAGCACATGACTCAGGTTTGACTCAGTTTTGACTGGTTATTGGCCAAATCAGCATATAGACGGGTTTTCAATAGCTTCGGATGTGGTTTTTCTGGGAAGCTGTGAAAGAAATTTCAATGAATTAGTCATAGTTTTTGGTCAAATATATAATATAATAAAGGATATTAGTTTCGAAATGCAAATCAATGATTAATCTCATTCTTTGTGGCTTTGGTAGCTAATGTCTTATTTAATATATAATCAAAAGCTTCTAGTTTAGCGAATCAACTCTTACGTAGACTTCCTACTTTTAAAATGAAATCTTCAAGACTACATAAATAACTCAACTATCTAGAGGAAATCCGAAGAGAACTCGTCTCCGTTTTCAATGTCAACCTCTTTTGTCAAGTACACGATGACCTGCAAAATAAGCCATCCACAAACCGGACATATAAAACATTATCCAAATCACCGCTCCAGCTCCAGCTCCATCTAAATTTCCAACTCCATCCAACCAACTCCCCCACGTTCGTTGCCTTGCATTAATGAGGGTTTCAAATAATTTAAATTTATTTTTCGTTTGTTTGTTTCTATGTTTTATGATGGGGGGAGCATTGTGGCTGGGCGTGAGGTATATATGCTTAGCCACGATCCACTCAAACAGATATAGCCGTTTGTTGTTAAAATGTGTGTGATTATGTAATTTCGTTTGTCGTTTTGTTTAGACTTCTCGGGCCAGAGCAGCAACATCAGTGCTGGTTCCGATGGCATTTTACTTTTGGTTTCGCTGCCCGTATCTAGGTTGGGGTCACATCTCCGCCGGGCAATTGACTGCGCCGACTGCCACCAGGTCTTGGCTTCTCCCTCATTGTTTCGTGCACGAAGCGGGCGGCCAATAAAACCAGCTTAAAAATGTTGAAAACAAAATACGGCAGGCAGTCGGCAATTGCAGTTACAGTTGAGGGCCCAAACAATTTTTGAGTAATTTTTAAAATTTTAAACAAAAAGGTGGAAAATTAGTGGATGACATAAGGTGATCTAAGACTATATTTTGGGGTGAAGTAAGAATTTTCGCTTTTACATATAGTTTTGTTTTATAAACTAAAGAAAGTAATGCATTTTTTTTTAATTTTATTTTTTTAATCCTCTTTTCAGGAACTGCCTCGTGCTGAGCCTTTGTTGGGAGCTTCAGGAACTGGCGATGAATCCGAGCTGCAGAGCTTGGACGCGGAAAGCCGCAAGGCCGTCCCTGCCCCAGCAGCTGCCCAGGATGCTGATAAGGACAACTCCTACTCCGACAGCGATGAGACCGATGAGATGCAGAAGTTCCCCGGCAAAGTGCCGCTCGAGCTGGACTTGAGCGACCTGGCTGCTGCCATTCTGCGTAACAACAAGAAGTGAGATATTAAAAATATTTAAAAAAAAAGAGTAATATTTTTATAATTTTGAATTCCAATTATCAGATCCCGCATGAACTGCGTCGTGGAGCGCAAACACGCCGAGGAGATCGTCGACTCGCCCTCCAAGACTGTGGCTCTGCCCTTCGGAGTCAACCTGACCACCGATCCCAAGAAGGCTCGCATCACAGGCGAACGCATCTCGATTTTCTGCGACGGCGGTGACGACAAGGAGCGTGAGGAGAAGGAGGCCAAGCGCCAGCGCGAGCAGGAGGAAGAGGACTCTGACGAGGATGCTGAGCCACTCCGTCCCATGTTCATTCCCTTCCAGCGTGTGCCCATTCCATTCGGCCGCATTCCCGACCAGATGCCGCTGACCCACATGCCCCAGAGGATGATGCCACCAGCAATGCAGATGCACCAGCAGTTGCCCCAGCAGCAGCAGCAGGGACCCATTATCATCCGCCAGCTGCCTCCTCCCTTCCAGCACCTGCCCATGCGCCCACCCATGCCTCCCCAGGTGATGCAGGCCCCCCGCATGGAGTCCTCCGAGGAGATGCCCATTCCCAAGATCCAGACCGTGCGCATCCACATGCAGCAGCTGCCCTTCCGTGAAATCCACGTTGCCGATGATGTTCCCGTCCAGATCCCTGCCCAGCGCCAGCCTGAGCAGCACCAGCAGCCACCCATGCAGATGCAGATGCGTCAGGAGCAGCGTGAGGTGCCCCAGATCCAGATCCAGCCCATGCCTTTCGGTATGGCTCTGCAGCGTGTTGGCATCACCGCCGAGGACCTGAGGAACATCCAGCGCATGGCTGAAGACCGCATCACCGACGAGCTGCGTCGTCTGGCCGCCGAGGAGAGTGCTGACTCCAACGAAGGAAACTCAAGTGACGAGGATGTGTCCTCTTCCGGCGAGCAGGCTACCACCGAATCCCAGCCTCAGCAGCAGCCGTCTCATCCCGAGCCGACGCCGTCAGAGCAGCACCAGGAGCAGAGCCAGGAGCAGGAGCAACAGGTGCCCCAGATGCGCATCCAGCGCCTGATCCTCCAGCCTCTGCCAGAGCAGCCCCGCGACACCATGACCCCACCGATGCCCGATCAGCCCCAGCAGGTGCCCTTCGGTCGCATGGTCTACGGCCGTAGTCTGGCCCAGCCCGTCCGCATCCCTGTGCCCATGATGGCTATGGAGGGAGCATCCAATGCCGCTGCCTCCGAGGAGTCTCAGCGACCTCACTGTAAGTATAAATGTTTTTTTGTTTTTAACTTAAGAACTTAAGACTTAAATCAACAAATAACTAACTAAAATCTTTACTTTGCAGTCGTCCAGCCTCGTTCCGTTTAAGAAACAAGAACACCACGCCTGTGATTGCTGCTGTGCGAATCGAATCTCGACGAGAGGGGAGATTGAGATTGAGAAGAAACTAGGAGGAGTCAACACGTCACCTACTTTACCCAAAATATCTATTGTATTGTAACCGAGTCGTCTCGATTTGTTTTGTAATTGAAGCAGCTTAAAACAAAAAACATATGTAAAACCAAAACTTAATCAAAAAGTTTCAGAAAATCTTCCAAAACCTTCTTATCTCTTTTTCTGTATTTCATTTTTGTACATTTTATGTTTCAACAACAAAAACAACAACAACACAAAAGAAAACAACAGTCTTCTGTGAAAAAATTATGAAAGTTTTCCCCCAAGTGCTTTTTTCCAACTTTCAGTTTTTTTGAATTGTCTACAGTTTTGTTTTCACATAGAAACACAAATAAATCTGATGGAAATTTTTGTACATAAATTATTATCGTATTTTTAATTAATTAATTTTCTTGTGTAGTTGTTAGTAAATTAAGTTCGAAGCTGAAGCTGATCTGATCTTGATATAATCAACTTCCAAAACAAACGACAGCAACAAATCAATATGTACATTTTATATGAATATATATATACTACATATCACACATATTTTGAAACGAATAAAATTGTGGATAATTGGAAATCAATTGCATTGTCTTATTTCTCGGTGAATCTTCGAAGAATCCTAAAGCTTCCATTTAAAAGAAAACAACAAGAATTCGTAGCATTGTTTAAAGTTTATTTTTTGTGCCTTTAGACATTCTTTCGTTTTGTTTTCGGCTCAAATCATACAAATTCGCAAAAATCGAACAATATTTATAGTAAATGGTTTTTTTACGCATTTATCGTTTATACATTATCTTTTTTGCTCGTCTCTCGTTTACAGTTTATGTATATAATTTATATTTTGATCAGTGTAAGTTATATGTACAGTTTTTGCATGTGCACAAGTCAGGGAAACAACCGATGTCAGAAGTAGTTCCCTCTTTACAATTATAATTACAATATAATTGTATATTTAGGTAAATTAACATATATGTATGACTAATCGTTAGTTGCATTGACGAGTGGGTTAAATAGGGCTGTTGATTTTTTTCTTTTATAGGGCTTGGGTGGGGCGATATACAATACATTTTCGTAGCGTTTCGTAAAAACTAAATTCGTCTAAGCTTTTAAAACAAAACACACATTATACATAACCAAATGAGTTATGGGCTGCTTAAGGAAACAAAATACGGATTTCTACACACACTTTTGTTCCTGGTCGGACTCACTCATCACTTGTATCACTGATTTTCGATTTAGTCAAGTTTCCTTATCCCATTTCTTTCTGCGTTCCCGATTATCCTTCTCGATTAAAATATATTTTTGTTTTGTTTCTAGGATGTAAAGCTGTAACAACGCTAACGTAACTCAATATTATGGTATTTACGATAATTAGCACATGTCCCCTGTCCTCTCCCTTCGACTACGACTATAGGGCTTGGATCAAGATAAGGATGGCAGGAGGATCCCCTTAACCATTCTCGCACTGGTGACCCTCACAGTTGCCCCAGAAGATACAGTTTCCGACGCCGCTGTAGCAGATCAGTGAGACTGCCGTGAGGAAGACCAGACTGCAAATCGTGCAGGGCTTGCGTTCCAAAAAGAATCCAACTAGGTATAGAACTATAAACATCACATGCGTCTCCATTAGCGCCGGGTTTGTGGGCTTCGGTATCAGCAGTACGGGCAGCAGACATTGTAAGCAATACATTCTGCGGTCTACCACGGGGTGTGGTGTGGGTGGGCTCTTGTTTGTGCGTGTAAAATTATATATTATATCCGTATCATCAACACCCCGTCGTCCCGAACGTTGACGTGGACTTTGGCGGCCTGCAAAACGGAAGGGGCGGTGTTAAATTATTCTATAATTACTATCAACTGTAGTCCTGGGCAAAGACCCAAGAGAGTCACCCCGGGTCCGTGGTGGGGCCGCATCCGATCGGAATAGGTCTTACCTCTTCTCGGATCCTCCTGCCGCTGGCCTTGGGGTGTTCTTCTGTTGTGTCGCTCTCAGTTGTGCGCCGTGTGAATTATCACATAATAAACAAAGATCATAACAGGAAAAGACAGAAGTTGGCTGAATATAGGAAACTGGAAGTCCACTAGTCCACACTGTCCATGTAGGCTGGCAACGCGTGGGATTAGAACAGATCTAGGCTGGATTTCCTATTTTAGGTCAGTTGTAAAAATTAATGCCAAAATCTCTAAACATTGTGAGCTAGAGGTGGAAGAAGTTCGATAAAAACCAGCGAAGAAAACTTTGCAGCGCCACCTGGGGGAATTCCCTAATGCTGGTTCCAGTTGTAAATTGAATAATTTCTCCCGCTCTTTTTAAAATTTCATTTTAATAAATGTATAAAAAAAATTAAATAACTGGTTTTACAACGCAGTTCTTTTTTTCCCATAAAATTTATAAATTAAGTATAATTCAAAGAAAACCCCTTATCTAAGCACTAGATAAGAAACCAATACAAACCTACATATTGGGTAAACAATATACCCACATAGATAAGGCTTTAAAGAAAGTACTACAGCTAAGTACACCTCTGCTTTATTAATATTTTATCTGCATTGAAAACGATAATAATCTTAAATAAATGCACCTAAGTAAAACTGTATTGTTACTAATTTAGTGTGATTAAGTGAACGGAAGACATTCTGCAGTATCCATACATCTATTTATGGTTTCCAGTCATTATATTTTGATATGCTATTAATAACTAGGCATGATGAATTTATGAAAACAAATATACGTCCATAAAACAAGTTATATGGCAACGGTAGATTAACAAAAAATAATTTAGCTACGACGCATCCGCTGCGGTCTATACATTCCAATATAGAGTGTTGCGGTATATGGTTGGATCAGTTGCCAAGGGCAACAAGAATATCCAACCCACAAACCCAACTATATACAATACAATGGCTATTACTCGACGCCACAGGTCCTGCTGCCACAAATCCTGAAGATCCGGCAGACCCATGTGGTTACAAAAAGCGTGGACTAAAAACGGAGCCACCACATGGCCAGTACGGGCAAACAAAAATGCGGAATAGAATCCAAACAATGTAGTATAAATAAACTGGAACAATCCGATGAGCAGTGCTGTGCTCAATTCCACTCCCAGACTCAGACGCTCGGCAATGTGATGCAGATGAGCCACGCCAAAAAATAGGGGGGTTATGAAAACTGCCGCCACAGGTGAAAAGCTCTGCAGGATTAAAGGCATCATGCACGCCCGAAACACAAACTCCTCGGTTAGTGGTGCCATTATATGATTGCGTACCCATATTATGCTGTTAAGGGATCCACGCCAGTAGTCCAAATCTGAAATAAAACTTTCTTAGCAAATTCTCTTTTAAAGACAAACTCAATTACAAACCAAAGTAGGACCGTATGGACTCGTTCTGCATGTTTACGAAAATTGGCCCGAGGAAAAGTAGCACCGTGAGGGCATAGGGTATCAGTGTGGCCTGCCACAGTCCTTCGATCCGGAAGCCTAGAAGTTTGGCAAATGGCTCCCGGTGAAGCAGCTCCGGCGATGAAAAGAAGTAAACGAATATCGGGGCAATTAACATAACCACTGAGACGCTGGCGAATCTTCGTTTGATCGTCGAGGGGTGATCCCGGTTGTGTTTGGTGCTCCAAATGTAAAGGCTTCCCACGTATAGCACAGCCAGGACGAAGCAGCAGCTCACTGAGGTGGTTATCGGGATTTGGGGAAGTGGCAGGGATTGTGTTTGCTCCATGGATGGCGACATGATGGCTGCGGCTTCTTTCTCACTCATATTAGACATTTAAAATCGTTGTATATTCGTCATTCTCTGGTATCCAAAAGAATTAGTAAAAGTACACAACATCAGCTGTTTTCACTAGGGCTGTTGATAATATAAAAAAAATATCAATTTATCGATATTTCTTGTCTAAAAATTTTCAATTCAAAATAAACTTTAAAAAATGATTCATTCTTAATACGCTAATTGAAAATAAGAAGGATTAAATATATACAAATTATATAAAATATCATTGAATATGCTTTGAAGAAAAAGAATTTGCAATCATTTGTTTTATACTTTCAGGTATCAGATAAAATTCTTGAAAATATATGTTTGTAAGTAGTAAATATTATTAAATCGAACTTTAAGACTTTAATAAATAAAAAGAATAGGGAACAAACTCAATAAAATTTAAACTTTCCCGCTCTTATGACTTCTATATTTCTTGGTATTCACATTTTGAAAAGCTATGGTCGCACTTATTTGTGATAAGCAACGTGCGGCGGCGGCGATTTTCGGTTGTTTTTTGAAACAAATATTGCTTGTGTTGTGGGCTGGGGCACTCAATTAAATTCATAAATCGATTATAGAAAGTCGGAGACCTCCGAAGAATATCAAAGATGTCGTTTTTGATGAAAGCAGCCGCCACAGTGCACAGAATCGCTCATAAGGTTTCCCCCTGCCATATGTTAAACTCTTCGGAGAGGAGAAGTTGTTTTGACCTTTGTCTTCTCTTTGTTTATCTTTCAATGTTCAGGTGCCCGTCCGCCATCTGAATCTCCTCGAGTTCCAGAGCAAAGATCTCCTCCAAAAGTTCGGGGTGGCCATTCAGCAGTTCAAGGTCTTGGACAACTCCAAAGCCGATGCAGATGTGGTGAAAAGTTTTGGTAAGCAAGAGACCATGCCGGTGTTTATGTAATCTTTGGTCTAATTGATGTTAAATGTTTTTTTTATAGAGTGCCCGGAATATGTGGTCAAGGCGCAGATACTCGCCGGGGGGCGTGGCAAGGGAACATTCGATAATGGATTCAAAGGCGGCGTGCATATCACCACAGAGTAAGATAAAAAGAGGGCTTTCTGGTTTTCGTATCTAAAAGTTATTAAAATCGATTTATTAACATTTTTGTTTTTATCATGAAAATGAGAGCATTTTACTGAAACCAGAATGTACCCCCAAACACAACTGATAAGAGTATTATTATAATTAATTTTACTTTCGGCAGCAAGAGCGAGGTGCTTTCGCTCAGCCACAAGATGATTGGCAATCGACTGATAACCAAACAGACGCCCAAATCTGGAATTCTTGTCAACAAGGTCATGGTGGCCCGCAGTGTCAACATCACCCGGGAGACTTATCTGTGCATCCTGCTGGATCGCGAGCATATGGGACCTGTTCTGATTGCTTCCCCGGCTGGTGGCATGGATATCGAAGCCGTGGCAGAGGAAACCCCCGAAAAAATCAAGACTGTTCCGCTCGACATTGGCAAACCCATTCCAGAAGCAACGCTGATTGAAGTGGCCAAATTCTTAGAGTTCAAGGGTGATGCTGTCCAGCGCTGTGCCGACGAAATCCAGAAACTGTATACCCTGTTTAAGTCGGTAGATGCAGTGCAGATTGAGATCAATCCTCTTGCCGAGACGGACAAGGGAGAAGTTATCTCTGTGGATGCGAAGCTAAATTTCGATGACAATGCCCAGTTCCGGCAAAAGGACATCTTCGAAATGGACGTCACCGAAGAGGAATCCGATCCCCGAGAAGTGGAGGCCTCCAAATATAATCTTAACTATGTGGCCATGGATGGAAACATTGGGTGCTTGGTGAATGGCGCTGGACTGGCCATGGCCACCATGGACATTATAAAGTTGAATGGCGGTGAGCCAGCCAACTTCTTGGATGTGGGCGGTGGTGTCAAGGAGGATCAGGTGGCCAAGGCTTTTGAGATTCTAACCTCCGATCCGAAAGTCAAGGGAATCTTGGTCAACGTTTTTGGCGGCATTGTAAACTGCGCCACCATTGCCAATGGAATCGTGGCTGCCTCCAAGAAACTGCAACTAAATGTTCCACTCGTCGTTCGGTTGGAGGGCACCAATGTGAATCAGGCTCGCGAAATCCTCAAGAATTCTGGGCTGCCCATTCAGACGGCCAGTGACTTGGACGATGCCGCCCATAAGGCGGTGGCAGCTCTTAACTGAGATGGAATTACAAAAATGGGGAAAATGTCTTCCAGATCATCGCGACGCACATTTTAGCATTTACAATGGACAGGCCTTTTAAATCTAAGTTTTAAAAAAGACTATATTGGAAATATATTTTATTTTTAAATAATTTGGTATTTTTAGTTTTTTTTAAAAACTTAATTTTTAAGAAATTCGAATTCAGTTTGACTTTATGAGTGGCGCACCCAAGCGGTCGGCAGAGGAGATCAAAACAGAGTTACCGTCTGCCGACTAAGCCCGATTGTGTTGCCAGCCCTGAGCTCTATCGATAGCCAGCTTAAGACCGATTGTCAGTCCACACCCAAAGCCAACAGCCAAACAAACATTTCCGAAGGAAATCATCAAAATTTCCATTTCTAAATCAAAGCATGCAAAAGTCGTCTCACTTTGCACGCGAGGATTCCCAGGAGCACCTTCCCACCAACCAAAATACCGTCAACATGAAGCGCCACACCCTGTCCGGAAGTTGTGGCGTTGGCGTCTTCGTGTTCGCCTTTGCCTTCATTGTGATTGCCTTTGCTACGCCCAGCTGGCTGGTCAGCGATTACCGCATCACAGGAGCCAAGCTGGACCGCCTGGGGCTGTGGGTGAACTGTTTCCGATCGCTGCCAGATGTGAATGATAACAGCCAGCGGAGGTTCTTCGTCGGATGTCGTTGGGTCTACGATCCCTTCACCACGGGTTACGACGAGATCCGTGGCTTCCTCTTGCCTGCCTTCATGATTGCCACTCAGTTCTTCTACACCCTGGCCTTCATAGGAATGCTCCTCAGCGCTATTGGTGTCCTGGTCTATTTCCTGTGCGCTGGTCCAGATCAGAAGCATTTTATAACTCTGATCCTATCCGTGGGGTACGTACTTCTAGGTTCTGGCGTAAGTGCAGCCATAGCAGTCATTGTGTTTGCCTGCTTTGGCAATCGGAACGGCTGGATGCCCGAGCACGCGAACAATTGGTTTGGCTGGTCCTTCGTCCTCGCCTGCGTGGGCACTGTGTTCACCCTGGTGGCGGCCACTTTGTTCCTTAGCGAAGCCCATGTCCAGAAAAGGAAGCGATTGCAGTTCAAAGAGTCGCAGACTCGATTCGAGTTGGTTCGCGGATAGTCGCCTAGGGTGAGTACGAAAAGTATCCAAGCCACGGCCATTCGCTTAACCTTCCTCTTTGTCTTTTGCAGCCGCTGTAACCTAGCACACATGCACTAAGGAAAAACAACACATTCAGAACAAAATAACAAAAAACATTCCGTCCCACGAAGAATTCTCACCCTAATAATTACAGACAAACTTCTCCAAGTCGAATAGTCAAAAGACAAACATTCTAAAATGAAATATGCACAAAGTACTCCTCATTAGTATCCGTGACTCACTTAAAAGCCAATTCCGTCCATATGAGTCGACGAATCATAGAAACTTTTACATTATAGAATGTAAATGATCAATGTTATTATTCGTAAAAGACATTACTTATCAAAATTTGGAAATGCTTTAAATAATTGAAAAAGTTTATATTTTATCGCAGAATTGTGAAAATTATTGTAACGTCTTTAATCGAATTTTAAAATTCAGTTTTGGAGAAGTTAGTCTGTAAGTAGTTTTTAGATTAAAAGAAAAGTTTATGCAATTTACAGAATCGACACACCGCATCGTAAGCTTTCAGTTTTTGGTACTTATAATTCATCCATCCAATCGACCAGAATAGTTCCAAACGAAGACTGAATGTTTTCCCTAAAAGAATCACTTTTCTGCACAAGACAAAAACGAAATGATACGCTCAACCAAATGACTTATGTTTGTAGAGTATACAGCCAGATTTGCATAATGATTTTCGCTCAATTAACGCCCAGAGACAACAGACGCCACCCCCCAACAATTGTAGTTTTATTTTTTTTTTGTTGTAAAGTCGCAGGCTTGTCGGAACTAGCAACAAAATCTTACACTCGTGCCTTAATTAGAAAGAACTGTATTTTGGTATAGTTTATAGTGCCTAAAAAAAAATTATTGTTAGAGACCTGATCGACTGACCTGCGACAATTCCCTCCACACATTGGATTGCATAAACTTCTGGTAAGCTAGTGCCTTAGTTAAGTGACACGGCGAAAGCTAAGCGAAATACGTCCACTATTTTTAAGAAATAACGAAACATTCCGTCTTTTACATGTGAAAATTGAAAACGTGTTGCCTTCTTTTAAAGGCAACTAGATCTGTATTAATATTTATCAATCTTTTTGCACGATGCTTTACAAAATCTTCAATTTGTAACATATTCTAAACCAAGAATTAAGCAATATCTTAGAAGAAAAAAAAACACACATCTTTTTACCCCATATACAATCATATTTGTAACATTTGTATTATGTACAAACGACTTTTTTTTAGCTAAAGCGAAGAAAAATAAAGTTTTTATTGTATACAACATATATGAGTGGTGCCTTGCATCTTTTGTGCGAGTTCAAGGCAGTCTTGGGTCTAAGCCGAGACGGCACCTAACCCAAACAATGAATCTGCTCCCAAGTCGCAGCGGTGCATTCGATTTTTCCCATGGCGCCTGCATCCGAAGCGGGTAAACTTTTTATTGTCGTCTTTTGTATGCCGGTCGCTGAGGCAATGGGTCGCCTCGGTCGGATATGGATCGGTTCACTGGAGTAACAATTGATATGCCAACAGATGGTGGGCTGCGCCGCGTGTCGGGCCTACTGCGATTACGAAGTCAGCTTTTTGTGTTGGATTATTCATAATTGACGGGTGAATAATAAAGGAATTGTGTATTAGGACACCCATCACCCTAATTGTATCGGGTGTTTTACATTTATGAAAGACAACGTTGTTTAATATTTAAAGAGCTCTTTTGATGATATTATTCCTGATTTTCCTGGAGTGATGGTTTATATCTTAAAATCTATATTCATTTTTGAATGAATAATTAATAAGGTTTTAAAATGAAACGGTGTGGACATAATCTTGTAATAAAAGTCTTAAAAGTTCAAGGTTGAAAGATTGTGGCATATACAAAGGTAAGTTGAAAAATATATATATATAATTAATTCCTAAATAATTTAGATAAAACCAATTTTTAATAAATACTTAAATAGAATCATAAACGGTCTTAAAAAATGTCATTATTAAAAACGGAAACTATTACCAAACGAATCAAGTTTAAGATAAGCCCACCACTTAGTATAAGCGACAAAATAAATCACTAAATTAGTTCATCTTTGACGAGGTCACTTTCAAGTCTCAAGTCCTACAAAGTTCACTTGATTAATTGAACAGTTTTAAAAATCGATATCAATATTTGAGAGGCGAAGGCTTTCAGCCACCGGCCTTTCAAAAACTCACAAAGGTATTAGATCATTTTGTCAACAATATGGCGCCCGGCTCAGGCTAGCACTTAAAAAGTCTTTTAAATGGTAACCATAACAAAATGAAATATATTAATTTATCTGGCTTATAAAGGCATAATTAGCAAAACAAGTGGTGAGATATCTGAATCATCTGAAAAGTCCCCGCCTACACATTTGTGACCCCACTTGGCATTAATGGCATTCAGGGAAGAGACGGAAAGAAAAATGGATATATTTTTGGAATTGAAGGAGGACTTGGTGAAGCGTGAAATCTGACTGAAGATAGTTCGGATTGATGGATGGATTAAAAGATTCGGTACAGATCTGATTAGCACGAACTGAATTTGATTTAAACCGGATGCCTGCCCCATGACTCGATTGACTCAGTCAAACGGCCTTGGGGGGGAAAAAAAACTGCACAAAAATATGTGCTAAACGCAAATTTATTTACGGATTTCATTATGGCCAGCATATCGAGCGGGAAGGAACATCTCTATGCATCCGTGACCTCACACGCCGTTAGCCTGACAAAAATAAAGCCGCTTACTTCAATTATTACACGGAACGGATTAAGAACTTGGAGGCAGAGGCAACTTGGCTTAAACAAACCGATTCTCAGGGTTCTTTTGATTTTTGATTGACGTCCAAATTCGAAATCCACCTTTGGAGCAGTTTGTTGATTATATTTGATTTAAGAGAGACAGTGTAATTAAAAATGTTCATGGGAAATTAGCATGATCGGAAATTATTCAAAATATATGTTTTTATATAATAATTCAAACATTTATGCGAGGGAAATAAATTAAAACTAATATAAATAAATACATTTTATAAAAAGGAGGAATTAAAAGAAACGGCGAATAAATTTCTGCTTAATTTGTTTAAAGAGGTTTCAAGATTTTCCATTTGCATAAAATTCCGCCACGACAGTGGATACAGTAGAACACGATGAGAAGAACCAGAATTTGAAGTTAATTTTCGAGCCAAAGACGAGAGACGAGGCTTCATTAACAAAAGGCAATATACCTGTTCTTAGGCGCTGGCCAAAGATTAATTGCCATCGCTTTGGTCACAATGAAGCATTTTGCATAATATTTTCAATCAAACGGAGCGTCAATGAACGTATTAAGTATTGAAATTAAAAGTTACCGGAGATTTATTTGGTATTTTGTTTTTCGGGGGAGAAGAAAACCGAGAAGCCTCAAATCGAAACCGAGAGTTTGCGCCTGCGATTACGCAAAGGTCTCAAAAATAAACTGTTTATAATAAATAAGCTATGGCCGGGCCATTAGATTGATTACTATTTGCCACACGCAAACTTTCCTCAAATCCACTCTTTTTTCTTGATGTTTCTGTCGGTTATTTTGTTAAATCTATAAATATTGATTGAGTCTGTGAAGGTCAAGTTTGATTTGGACTCTGGAGACGGGCTCATTAAAACTTTATGGACACTTGACGGTTTTTATTTTATTTTCAAAATAGAACATCTTTTATGACGCTTTACACAAATTGGCATTAAGCATTGGAAACGACTTCTGCTAGATTAACTTGTCCAGCTTTATGTTGCTCATCAAAATTTAAATGCTTTCCTTTCTGGTATTCTGATCTCAAACGATTAGGTAGACATTTTAAAGCTTGTACAGGACTGTACAAATGATCTTGATCGGTTTGTTTCAATCGTGGCCTGTAGTTTTGCTGACGTTAGTAATTAATGAGGAATTTATCTAAATTCTTGTTTTTTGGGTATTTTTAGTACGCATGTATCTCTAAACGAGATTAGCATGCTTATAAAAGTTTCATAAGGATTGGATAGTGTGCAAAAAAAAATAAAGCAAGTTTGCATCATGAATATGCAATCGAAAAGTTGAAACATTTCTTTATGGAGTTGAATGAAATCCATTGTCTGGCTTGTTCTAACTGGCGAAACGAAAGCGGAACGATTTTTAAAAGATTTTTTGTATATATTTTATAGAACCACACCTTTTTTTAAATGGCCAATGGTAGATGACCATATTTAAAGGCCAGTAATTATATATATTCCCGAAAGCTTATGCAAATTTTATAAACATGTTCGATGAAAGTTCTTTCCAAACGAAAAGTAAAAGTCTTTCTTTAGAAATTGAGAATTTGTCTGGTTTTTGTTTGCGACGACTTTCGTTGAAAGTAAAAGCATATTTAAGCAGATTAACGCTTTTCGATGTTTTCTTTTCAATTTGTTCTGCTTGAAAACTTTTGTTGTTTCCCCTTATGATCTCATCACGTTTTACATGTCAGTTTTCCAATTTTTAGCCAAAAATAAATCACCAGCTTCAGCAGACCACCCGCAGATTAGACCATTCAAAGTCTCACCTCAAAATTGACACCACCTTTAGAATAAGTATACGACGGGTTGTGCGTCAGCAAGTTCCTTGAACTTCACACAGTTACCTAAAATAGATGGACGTGGCAGGGCGGGTCGAGTGAGACAGTTTGGTGGCTTTTAGTATAGTATAGAATATTATATCACAGCATAACCAGTATCCTCGTTCTTGCCATAATTCTGTCGACCCGATAGATATTATCATTCAAATGGCCTCACCAATCCGGACCCGCAACATTTGCGTCATAAAAATAGTGTGCTGAGCCATCAGATCATTAGATATGCTCCCAAACCGAAGAGGCTTGTGTCTGCAGATAGAACCGGAGACAATGCCATAACTTGTATGTAAAAGACACTAATATAACACTTTCAGATAAGAAACTTGTCTGAAAAATATTCGAGAAAGAAAAGTGCCATTAACACTCTATAGTTTGCTATGGAAATATGAATGTTCGGATCGTGTCGCGCTCTTAAAACCGCACTAAATTGATTTCAAATTCAAATTTATGCGCACACATTTCGCCCGAATCAAATCGGCAATATTTTGGCAAACAAAACAAGCTACCAAACGAACATTTGATTAAAATCAAAAAAATAAAATAGAGAATGTGGTTTGGTTCTCGTCCGCCTATCGTAAAAGTTCATTTGCTTGAATTTGTTCTTGATTAGGGGTTTTTTTAGATTCGATTTATATTTTTGCAAGATTTTTTATGATCTGATTTAAAGTGAGCTTTGTGTGCTAATGACGAACATGAGAATGGACCAAAAGTTGCCTAATTGAATTATTTCTATGCTAATTTTTATTTTTCCCCCTCGAAATAGATCGTAAATGTTTGGTGTTGTATTATATTTTATGTGATTTTGTTTCTCTGCTCCCCATTAATATCAAAATGTGGCACCCGAGCTGGGCAAATATATCAACTTCTTGGGCCGCTAAAATGTTGCTTAATTTGGTACTCTTCTTTACTTTAGTTAAGATTAATGCTTGTTTTTATTTGTGCGAAAGCTCAATGCCACTGGTTTTATTTAGCTTCGGCTTAATTCCATTTTAAGGTGGTTTTGGGCTTGTATTTCCTGGCCAACGAACAAATATGTGACCAGCCGCATTATATTCCGATAAATCACAGAAGACATAAAACCTAAATGAGCGGGTGCGGTATTTGAGAGGCATTTGAGATTAATCAAATCTTCAAATTTTGTAAACAATCATTGAACTTTCTGGCATCGAATCTTGAATGTTAGGACACTAAACTTGAAACAACATTAAGTTGCGGGTCAGTTTCGAGGTGCCTTAATTTGGTGTCATAATTCAAACAAATGCCTCGCTCTTAAGTTAATAAATATTTATAGTTTTAAGGCTCGGATGCCTCGCAATAAATATTGAACAGACTTTGGCAAATAGCCGACATAGGCATCGGTTAAAGTGTATCTCGAAATCTTTGGCCAATTGAAACGGAAGTGAGAAATCAAAGCTAGTCGGAGGAAACAGATAAATTTCGCTGGGTGTTGACAGTCGGCGAGTCATAGGTGTATTGATTGATTGCAACAAGGTGAAGGAAATTTGTTTGCAGTTTTGTCTGACCATGTTTCACCTTGGATCTTGGCCCGCCCCCTAAGTTGTCCACAAAGACGCACACACAGTTTGACAGTCGATACAAGATGTTTAAATTTTCTCTGTGTTCGGCCACAATTTGTATGCAAATTATTTCGTTAGGTCCATCGGCAGGTGCTACTAATCTTTACCTTGGCCAAAAGGTGGAAACAAGTTGTTGGTGTCTTACTGATAAGATGGCCGAGCTTGTTAGTTGTTAGTTGTCCAAACGCCCAAGACAATTGTGGGCTGTCATTTCGAACCCGTCATTTGTCTCGCTATTATTTCAATTTTTAATTGGCCGCGAATTCTTGACCATAGTCGTGAAATTCTCACGAATTGAATGATGACCAAATACTAACTGGTCATAGGCCTGCTATTCTTCTGATTAATATAGTTTTGACTAATGCATTTTTAATGAAACTCCAAGAGTGACATCACAGCAAATTGGTTCGTCAAGCAATTTATAATGTGCCAGAAGTTCAAAAAGAAGTCGAAGTAATTGTAGCCACGTTTTCACAAACTCGCGACAACTCTTTGAAAATGCCATAAGAATTTTATGAAATAATTAGGGATTCATATTCAAGTATCTCAGCTTGTTAAACTCGGTACTGTCATTCTGTAAGCGGATGTAAATGTATCTACGCATCTGCATCTGTGACGCATCCGACTTTGCCTTTCACTTTAGGCCGCCCCTCCAGCCAAAACGAGAAAAAGATTCTCCTTTCAACAGCAGCCTGACATTAAAGGATTACTAGGGCGTTTTTTTAATCAAGAAAATTTCGGGGAGCATGCCAGCAATGAACTCGAAAGATACGTCCGGGAATGCTCAGAGAACATCGCTGGTTGATTTAATTTTGCTAACCACAAATATGTTGGAAAAATGGAAATTTATATAATAAAATTTATAAAATAAAATACATTAAAAATGTTCTATCTATATTTGAGAAATTCTGATATTTTAAAAAGTAACTTAAAGAATAAAATGGTCTATATAATTTCACAAAAGCTTGAAAAGTTCTCTGAGTGTTGGCCAAGAGTCATCAGATTGCACAAGGGCATCGGGGCAATGTCGTTCAACTTTTCGGTTACATAAGCATCGATGCGTGCAACCCGAAGACGGAAGCAGCTGCGAATGCAAGGGTTATACCAGCATCCAGTATCAAGGTCGACGCGAATGCAACATGCAACATGGCCAGGGATCAAGGGACTTGCCCTGCGAAACATGACTCATGGCTGGATATTCATCCCATTCGCATGAACGATTTATGGTTACGATCTGGAGGCACCCTCGCCTTCCCAGCTTCATCACCGTCATCGAATCATCGAGACTCTTGACTCAGAGCCATTGACTTTTGGTATTTTGTAGGAGACTCTGCTGCTGCTGCAACAAATTGATTTTTTGGTAGGCTTTCTAAATTTGGCGTTTCATGTACAAAAAACTGAAACCAGCAAGCAATCTTGGCCATTGCGTAGCTGCCTCTGATTCTTTTTGTTCGAGCATGAAATATCGATCTTGGGTTAAAGTTGCTCAGCTTTTCGTTATTTCTTTTCTCGAATCGAACTTGACTGGGGCTTGTTAAAAGCATATCTTAAATGCGATATATCTATTTATATTTGATTTCTTGATAGTTTTGCCAGCTTATGAATTTGATTAACAAAATTCAACTTGTTTTGCGACTGATGATAGCTAAAATCTTTTCGGTTTGGGGTTTTGTTCTCTCAAAGGTCGTCCAAAAACCACAAAAAAATAATACCCATGTATTGTGTGACTCGGTCTGGTCATAAAGATAAAATTTTGTGTGGGCTAAAATTTTGCAAAATGGAAAAAAATTTAAAATTTATTTCACTTCCACACATACCGTATTTGGCTTAAATTCCATTTAAATATATAAAATTTCTTTGTCCCTTTTTCACAGATCTGGAAATCGCATTGCCCACTTTATATTCATTTTGTTGTTGTCTGGCCATTTTTTTATTTCGAAATTATGTTTAATAATTTTACTGTCAATGAAACGCTGTCAAAAATGCATTTACATATGAAACGAAACAAGAAAAAAACTTCAGTCTTAAATGTTTCATTTTTTTCTCGTTTTTCTTTGCTCCGGTTAACATCGCGAAAATAATGCAAAAAAAAAATAATGATGTTAAAAACGCTTTGAGAATGTTGAAGGATATACCCAGATTATTCAGAGATGTCAAGGTCGTTGGGGGGGATTCGTGGCTCGTAATGTAAAAGGAATGTTGAGAACGAGTTAATAATAAAATTTGTTAATCCGTTGACCGAATGAAGATTTAAATTTGCCTTAAATTGCCGTTGGCAAAATATTTTCCCCTGTTTTTAAATTTTCAGCTAAGCCCACGTATATAGATATATTTAAAAAAAGAGCCCCAGCTGCGTTGGTTTCTTGCATGCTGTGCAGAAATTCGATAATTTTAAATGCCCTTTTATAGGGTATACTAATAATGTTAAAAGTATATTATTTTTAAAAAAATTTATAAAATTTCGCCTGAAATATGAAATTATCTTTTCTTGAGAATCAGACAAACGGTTTTGTAAACTTATTATTAAACAAAGTTTTCTTAGGGCATTGCACTTTCAGTGTTTTTTTTTTCAATTTCATTTTTTATTACAGAAAATACTTATACATTGTTTTTATTCCGAGGGTTTAGACCTTGACTTAAGCATTGTCGTTAAATTCATCCTTTTTTATGCCCCAGAGCGAGGAAGCTGATTATTTTCTGTGTCAATTGCCATCTTCAAGAGCAGAGCTTAAATTGTTTCTCCCTTTTTTTTGATGCAGCCAGGCGACTTAATCTGCGAAATTCACTTTAAATGTCAACAGCTTTTCAAAATTTATGCAAAATTTAAAAAAAGAACCGCTAGATACGTTCTAAGACTTATTTTAAGCGGATCAACAAACGGAAGCATGTCGCAACTAACCGAAAAGGTGTCGGAATTATGTTATGTGGATTAGGCTATACAATTTCCTATCTGACATGGGGTCCATGATCTCAGAGATTAATTTCTTGGCTACTGTGTGAGTTCATCTCAAGATTTAGAAAATGTATTCATAATCTAGCTCATTTGTGAATAGTGATCAATGGCAGAAAATTTATTTTAATTATAGCTCTTGCACACACAGGAAGAAATACTAGTAGATACGGAAATCGAATAGATCGTGCGGCAAACTCAATAAAACTAAACCCTGTTTCTTGCATAGCTTTAATTAAATCAATAAACCATCTAAATATTTTCAGCAAAAAATAAAACTTAAAATGCCAGTTAGAACTGCCAAAAGTCGGGAGCCAAGCGAACGAACAAAAAAAATATAAACGTATATAAATATTGAAAAAAGAAACAACAATCTCAAATCAATATATAGCTAAAATATCACTATTCGATTAACGATAAAATTAAATCAAAATAAACACGAAAAACTCGAATTTTCAATTAAAGACAAAAAATGTTCTTTGGACAAACAAAACAGAAAACAATAAAACATAAAAAAAGAGAATAAATAAGCTAGAGAAAAAAAATCTATCTTTAAATATTAATGAACCCAAGAACCTGAAAGTGAAGTTAAATTCTTGAGACACGCAAGCAGATCCTAGCGAGAGAAGCGCGAAGACACGCTCCCCAGAGAGGGCTACAATTTATCAAGTATACGACCCGTGGCTCCGGCGTATAGTGGCTTAGTTGGAGCTCATCTCTCCAACGCCGCTTGGCCAAATAAATTAACGAGTCCGGCGAAAAAAGCGTGCATAAAAAATAAAACCCGTTCCACTCACACACTCACGCACTTTAAGCCCAATAGCTCTGTCACCTGGACAGGTAGTGATGCGGTCGGAGCGTGCCATGGTATGGGTTAGGAGCTGCTCTCAAGTACACTGAGCGAGTCTCGAAATTCGATTTCAGTTTCAGTTTTTTTGTGTGATTTCGTTTTTTGCCTTTTTGTTTCGCGTCTGCCTCTGTTTATATGGCAAAGACGCGATGCGTTCATCTTCAGTTCGTCCACATCGGTCACCACGGTATGAGCTCTAGTTTAGGCTCTTAAAAGTAAATACTAAATCAATATTTGTGATCTCCTCACACCTGAAACACCTGAACGGAATCCCCAATCCCCCACACATACCCACATCTCCACTGAACTGTACTAATTGCAAGGATAAATAAAAATACTACAGAATTTTTTTCTCTAAAAAAATTCTCAGCTTGCAAATTTTGAAACTTTAAAACTCGACTAAATTTTTAAAAATTGTGCAAAAACTGTGATTCAAACAATGCAATTAACGAATATATAAACATTTTCTTCTTTTCAAGATTGGAAATTGGATAACTCAGTTTATTCCATTCAAAAATTGATAATACCTAAATAAATATTTACTGGCGTTCCTTGTGTCAAAAAAACCATAAAATTCGTTGAAAATGGCGCGTGCAGCTTTGTGCATGGTAAGTAAATAAAAACAATTTAAGGACCTTGAAAAATATTTTTTTTGGGAATCCTTTTCTAAATATTACCTTACAAGATAGCCTAAGCTACCGGATTAAGTGTTAGTTCATCTCTTGTTTTAATTACCATGGAAGTCTGTTAGTAGGATGTCAATGGCACTTAGCACTTGGCTAAAAATATTGTCAAACAAAAATGTTTACAAATAAAGATGAGAAAATGCGTCTGGCTCGTATATTTGATTGAAAACGAATAGTGAAGGTTAAAAACTGCAAGCAGCCAAGTTTTGTAAAACCAATAATATACAATTACGATGGAATTCCAATACAAATTTAACGAGCGTTGGCAAGTCCGGGTCAAAATGTAACTATTTCGGTGCGGTTTTTGTCCAGTTTATTTGGCAAACTAATATAACTTAGTTGGGGGTAATAGATGGGCATCAATTATGGCCTGGACAGTAATAATAATAGTAGTGATGCCCAACCGGCATTTTTCTGGGCAAACAAATAGTACAAATACCGGCAATTTCGAAACGATTCAATGCAAACGGCAGGCACTTCTGTTTATTTTACCTCACAACGCAAAAAAGTCATGCCCAAAGTCATTTCGGTTTCCTTACTGGCTCATTCCACAGAATTTATTTATTTGTAGTCATTTCAGGTTGAATCGATATTCGTAATTTGTTTTGTTTTTAGTTAAAGTGCAAAGAAGACGATTCAACACCCAAAAATGTGGCATTCCAAGTCTTTGTTGTTTTTAACAAAATAAAACGTATTTTTAGGCATTGGACTAAGAGAGAGTTCAATAAATTAAAATATATGCAAATCGAGCTTTGTATCATTTTTAACTAAGATCAGATCCGTATAGTATTTCGTATATTTGCGAAAGTTAAGCTTTAATTAAACGATGAGTCAAGGACTGGCTTCATTAAGAGAAACTATCGCAAAACAGTGTTAATTTGATTATGGCCAGAAATTCTTGGATAATTTCTTAGATAATAATCGACAAAAGCTGTTAATTTTTTGCATTTCAGACACCCGAAAAATATTGTGTATAAAAGGTGTCATAATGATGCTCTAAGTGAGCTGCGATATTATCTCGGATCCGGGCTAGAAAAATGGTTCCAGCCATGGGTTCTGTCACCTGCCAGAAAGCCCGTCGGCGCGTCAAGTGTGTCTGCCTTTGACCCCTTCCTTTTGGGGTTAAGCGTGCTGAGTTTGTTTGAATTTTTGCTTTTTTTTAGCTATATTTTTTCTTGTTTTGAGTTTATCTCGACAGCCACCAGCGTGAGGCTTAAATCCCCCTGGTTCGGGGTGAGAAATTCAGCCAGACACGTACGCAACGAATAAAAAAGGCAACCAAAACCAAAGTTGAGGCACAAAATATTGTTAATGCCTCACAACAAGCGTTGACAGGGAATTTCTTCTTGGCCCACACTTCTTTTTTGTTTTTATAATAAAAAATGTTCTGGGCCATCTCCCGAAAAAAGAACGTTGTTGTGTGGAATTTTAAAGAGTGCGCAGATTTTCTTCCCGGCATCTGGGCATTGCAATTCGGAAAGATTTAATCGTTCAGTGGGAGGCGAGTTGAGTCATAAAGTGGAGTAGCAGAAGCCGAGTGCCTGGCATGACAAATAGTTGGCTGCTCGCCTAGGCGATTGAAATAAATTATGGCATTAGCTTGAATCTCAAATAGGGCATTAGGCATGTCCGTTAAATAGTTTACTGTTAAGCAACATCACAAAAAAATCTAGAGCGAAAAATAAATTAAATTTACATCCGGGATTTGGCCTCAGGGCCTAGAAACTGTGCCACTCAGACCAGAAACTAGCAGCTAAGGTTCTTAACTCTTACCTCATTTCTCTGAACCTTTATGTAAGAGTTCATGGAACTTGGATGAAGCCCCCATTCACTTTTATGGCTAGTCGCTGCTTCTATTCTTTTCACTTCCCGCTATGACTTTCGATATTAAAGGCCGAAAAGGTTTTATTTGTGGTTTGACTGCCCATTAATTTATGGCTCTTTTTGTGGCTGGCAAATTTTAATATGAAATCTATACGTGTATCTCTAAAATAAAATCTAGAAATGCAAATTAGGTCTTGATCGCTCGTTAGCGATTAGGAGAGACAATGGCCAAAGGCGGCAGCTGAATTTGTTGGGAGGTGATGGTGATGATGATGACGATGACGATGTCTAAGGTGGAAGAGGAAGTCTTCGGGCGGGTTTAAATATGAAAACGAAAACGCTTCGCCAAAAGCATTTATTAACTCCAAGCCAAATGCCAAAAGTTGAAAGTAAAAGTTAATGCATGATGTCACCCGGAATGCAAGCAGCAAGTGTGCCGAGCCCAACGGTTTATTTTTTAATTGCTTCAATAAATCAGAACAAGTCGACTGGAAGTTCACTGACAGCCCCCGATTGTTAATGAGATACATTGTGTGGACAAATTCCCATCTTTGTCTGAGATCAACCTGACCAACTCATTTGTTTGGCCATCGATGAGGAATGAACTCATTAGCACAGTTCTGCTCTCAAAAGATTCTAGACTCTAGATGGTGCTAATTAAATCCATGCCCGGATTAACTGGAAAATCAAAAAACCAAAAAGGCCATCGCCCATAGCTGGTTATACTTGTTTCTCCCAAAAACAAAAAAACGAATTTAATTATTATTAGTATTCTGATTTTTGTTGGCGGAGTATTCCAGGTTCTAATGACTCTTTTTGTTGCCAGGTAGGCTCATTTGTTTGGCATTTTTATCGCTTGTCCGGCCATTTCATTTCTCATTTTATGGAAATGTTTGTTGCACAACTCCTCCGACAAGATTTCGTTGAAAAGAAATTTCACAACAGCTGTTGTGCAGCCCGAAACTGCATCCCCGAAAGAGATTTCATCGATTCAGGTCGCATCCCACTGCCAGTTGCATTTTAATTCGATTTATAAAAACAGAGACACTACGACACATTTCTCATGTTCGATCCATTGGCCGCCGGCACAAGATATCCATTGACCTTGAAAAGTATAAATACTTACACGAAAATAAAAAAAGTTTCCTCGCTCCAACCATCGCCAAAGGGCAAAAGCAGTCAAGATGCCTCGCCGAAAAGTTTGGATGGATGACTAAACCGGTTTACTGGTTTTCTGGGGTGCCTGGGACGAAGATGATTATGATGATGATGTTGGTTACGATGTATGTAGCTGAAATCATGTAAACATCCCAAGTAACAACATCTTGTGCGTGCGACCAAGTCGATTGATAAACTGTTTTGCCCATGCACTGTCGGCGGTGAGTTATGCAAAATGCAAAAAGTATCTTCAAGATTCATTGGCTCATTGTGCATACTGGCATAGAAAACTGCAGATTTTATTCTCAAGGCGGAGCTGTGCGTTTTTTGGGTCAACTCGACAGCCGCCAGTGGCAGTGGATGATGTATGCGAATGTCTTAAAATTGATTTACTGCATTTGCAACTAAAACGTAGCTCTTCGCACTTCTTTCATGACTGACGTTTGAATTCATAATTGTGGCCCACATTCGTTGGCTGGATTTTGCGTTTAATTGATTGGCAATTGATTAGAGATTTTTGTGTGTCTGTACATGGCTTGAAAGCGGGCTTGGCTTGGCACCCCGTTCACTCAATTTGAGAAACTAATTACCCGCGAGAAATGAATTTGTCAGTTATTGGCCTAGCCCAGTTATCGGAGATCAGGGTAAAGTTTACTGGGGCTTTGTGGCAATGAGAAAATAAATAAATAATTCGGGGATTTGTTTTCCAGCAATTTCTGATCAACTTTGTTGGCTGATGACTTCCCCCCCCCAATAACCTTTTTAGTGGCTCTCCCACTTCATTCAGAATTCATTAGATCCCTAGTCACTTAACCAAAACTGAAAGCCCACCACATGCAATCAATCAATCCATCACTTATGGGCCATGTTTTCTTTGACTTTAACTGAAGGAAAACTTCCTCAATATGTTGCTTTCCCAGGCACAAAAAAAGTTTGGATCTTCAGGTTTAATCGACCTCAGTTACAGGTTGAAAATCAATATCCACTGAAAATTATGGAAAACTTTTGTAATAACTTAACCATGCCATCCTCTTCCTGCACGCAATGAAAAGTTAGTAACAAAAATATTAAAAAACTGTGGAAAAAAAAACATATTTGGGCTTGAACTTTATTTGTGAAAACCTGCCCTCTGGCACGCCAATGTGGGTGAGATGGAAACAACCTCCGATGTCAGCGGCTGCCAGACAGGCTGGCATAATAAATTAAACTCAAAACTACACATTTTTTGGACACACACATATTTTTTCATAATTTCGTAGTTTTTGTCTTATTGATTAGTGGCGAATATTTTGGAGCAGGCGATTTGGCAACATTTTAAACTTGAAGATATGCCAATCAAAAGACAGTTATCCAGCAAAAAGCGGCAGCCACCGATTTGCATTAATAGCGATTTCATATTTCTGCCATTTGGAATCTCCATCAAGTCCGATTCCGATGCCGATGGTCGCGATTGGCGAATAAATTTTTTTTATGAGAAATTCATTTGTTTTTCGGTTTCCTTCACATGGTTTGGTTTTCATTTTGTTTGCACCCACAAAAAATATATATTGATGAATAGAAAAAATAGCAAAATTATTGACCTTATCGGAGCTATTGAAAGATGAAATCTATAGCGGGTGTTAACCATAAAATGCCATTGTTAGTAAAATACTCGTAATTATGGCATTCCCTCTTTTAACCTTAACACCAAACACACCCTCAATGAAGATATTGAGATTGAGGAGGCTGAGGCTTAATTACTTGGCTTTATGCGAAGGTCGGTCTCTTCACCTGCCCTCTGAAGCTTCTTTTTTGGCGACACATTTAGGAAATATGACTCGCCTTTATGAATTCTATATTAGGATATGGTTACTATAAATTTCCTAAAAGAACTCGTTTCTGAAAAGGAAGCCGGAACTTGGCTTGATTATATTAACTATATGGGCATTTTATGCTAATCAGTGTGAAAAAAAATAAAGAACTTATATAATATTTGTGGCCCGAATAAGAGATGATCCAACGATTAAGTGGGCCAACCGAAAGCTGATGTCCAACACGATCAATAATCGTTCTGCGAATGCCGACAAGTGCGTTCATATCTAAGCTAATTGTCCATTACTGTCGAGAACAACTAGTTTTTCTTCGACATTTTCGCGATGGCTGCTGTGACAAATCATGGGAAATTAGCATGTGCAAATTCAGTTTGGGTTTCAGACAAAATTTAAATGTCTGTCAACGTTTGACGAGTGCGCCAAGAATGCGCTGTGATTTGATTATTATGCCTTTGACATTTTGCCAGTGATTTTGGTGAACGGTTTGGGGGTTTTCAGTTTTCGGCTTTCGGTCTGGTTAAATGAATCGAACCGGATCTAAATGGCTGCTGATTTGGTTTTGGGCCGCAAAACGAGCTCGAGCGACTTGGTAAGCCGTCTTGGTTTTTTGACTCATCTCCGACCGCTCTCCGGCCACAATATGCAAATTGTGCGGAGCCGAGCCAAGCCAAGACTTAAATCTTTGAGATACAATAACTCGCTGTGGGGGCGTGCCATGAATGTGACAAATCTTTCGACAGTTGTACAATTTGGTGTCGGGTGGTTGCAAGCTAGACAGTCCCATTAATCATTCGTTTCTTTTATTTTTTTGTATTTTCCAGGCCGTCGCTTGCATCTTGATGCAATGCGTCTACTCTGCCAAGTTTGATGCAGAGAACCGTCGTCTTATCCTCGACATAAACGACCAAAAGACAACGAATCAGCAATACTATTCGTCAAACTTTGACACAAGTAAGTGAATCCGATTATCTCTATCCTAGCCGCTTTAATCCATCTCCCAAAACATCCAACTCAAAAATTAGACCAAAAACCAATCGAAAAATCCATTAACTTTGTAAAAACCCTGTTGAGTTTTGTACGCTCATATCGTATCCATATCGTAGATGTACTCGTATATCTTGAATATATCCCCACATCCATGCAGTTAGTTAGTTTTTGTTTTGTTAACTCTATACTCTGTTAAGTAGATAAATTGACAAACAATTGTTATTGTAGTTGTTAGTAGTACCTTAGTTTTAAGTATTTGTACTGCCCCCTGACCATCCCCTGGATAGTTCAACCAACTTACATTAATTAATTAATCAAGCCCCCCAAATCGAAACAAAAACCAATTGTAGAACTCTTCCCATAAATATATATACATTATATATATCCTTGTAGCAGCTTACTAAACTCACCCAGTAGAAACCGTAGTCTGCGTCGTAGCTATACTCAAATTGTAAATATATATACACGCTCAACAATCAATCCACCATTATCTATATCTCTCCCTCTTACCCTATGCTACTTTCTCTTTCTTTACACACATATAAATATACTCTTCCTTCAACAGTTTTTTGTAAGCACTTTTGCGCTTCAGTGGCGAAAAGTACTGCAGGAAACGTCTTTAAAAATGCTTCGCATACTCATAACTCTACCTCACCACCTCGAAATTACCCAACTTGATCACCCAAACAAAAAAACAAACAACTGATAAAAAAAGATTTAAAATTCCAACAACAAACAGCACACAACAACACCAACATTTTCCTTAAACGAAACATCATCCGATTAGGTTCAAACAGTGTGAAAACTTTCAGTTGCAGCGCCCTTTCAGAGATGTTAGATCGCAGTCAGTTAGTCGAGAGTAGTAGGGTTATATGAACACACCATTTCCAGGTCCTCACAGCACTCCTCCAAACAAACCAAGCACACACCCAACAAACCACACAATCCAAAACGTTATACTCTAAACATTACTCTTTCAAACCAAAAACAAAACCCCCCAAACACCAATCCAAAAATCAAACCTAAAAACACCCAAAAGATGCCTATCGGTATGGTTATGATGTCGGCAAGACCGGCAACTTCCACCACGAAACGAGAGGTCCCGACGGAGTGACCTACGGCTGCTACGGCCTCATCGATCCCTACCATCTGCTCCGGGCAACACACTACGTGGCCGACGCCCACGGTTACCGCACAGTCGAGCCGGAGAAGCCGGTGGAGACCTTCCCACCACACCTGTACAAAGAGACTGACGGAGGACCCTCCGAGCCGGGCATCCTGCTCCAGTGGGACGAGCTCTACTTCCCCATCGGATGTGGAAAGTTCGCCAACGGAGCCCAACACGGTGTTCCCTACTTCATTGAGGATGTAAGGGGTGTTCTCCGGGCGGGTTTCTGACCTTTTTCTGGAGGGATACTTTCGGAAAAATATCGGAAACCATCCCAGTAGAGAATTCCCCTCTGATCAGTGTAATATTTTGCAGTACAAAGAGACCAAAAAAAGCTCCGATGCGATTCCATCGTTCAGCTCCAACAGTATTGTGATCAAGGGCTCCGACCAGAAGAGTCTGCCCATCCACAAGCCCGTGGGTCCCATTGGACAGAGCACGGGAATCTTTGGCACCGACAAGGGCCACAGCGACCACAGTCATCCCGGCGACCAGGCGCCGTCTTTCCACTCGGTGAACACCTTGCTCCCGGGCAGCAGCAGTAAGCAATGAGCGCTACCGAGATATCTCCGATCGAGGGACTCCAGTATTTGTATGTTCTTCTAGATGATGGCCAGTACGTGCCGGATAACAATCCCTACAAGCATGTGGTTGGACCCAATGGAGGAAACGGAGGCAACGGATCTGGCGGCGGCTTCGGTGGAAACGGAGGCGTCGGCGGCAACGGAGGATTCGGACCCAATGGGCCGGGAGGCCCGAAGGGACCCTTCGGACCTAATGGGCCTCCTGGTCCACCTGGGCCTCCGGGTCCGGTCGGCGCGGGAGGAGGAGCCTCAGGAAAACCGGTCTATAAGGACGGCGATCGTATTTCCGTCGGCAGCGGTTCCGGAATCGGTGGCGGTGATCGTTATAGCACCGGAAACGGTGGCGGAAATGGCTCCGGCGGTCGTTATACCACCGGAAACGGTGGCGGAGTTGGTTCCGGCGACCGTTATACCACCGGAAACGGTGGCGGAGTCGGCTCCGGCGATCGTGTTTCCGTCGGAAGCGGTTCCGCAATCGCCGCCGGCGGTCAGTACCGCCCTGGCAATGACGGAACCTACACGAGCACCTACACGTACACCGAGACCGGTTTTCCTGGGGCCGTCGCCTATCAAGCAGGTTAGCCCTCCACCGATTTTCTACGCTTGGGAGAGCAAAATTTGAACGAGCTGCAGCTGGAGTGGAAAGAAAACCAAAGGCTTTAATCTGAAATATCATAAACCATAAGGATATAACCTCTTTTAAAATCTTGTTCAATCAGTTCGTTCAAATTTTCCTCTTCAATGATTTTAGTTATAGTTTCTCTTCGCTTACTCGTACGTCTCTATTTTAATAATATTAAAAACTATTTATAAATTTTAAACTATTTTAAGCTCTATATTTTCCGTTTATTTTCAGCCAAGAAACAATGATTTCTGATCCGTAAACACACCCTATATTTTCTATAATTTTTATTTGGCTAAAGCCTCAAAAACACACACATCTAAGCTAGGCAATTCTAGGGCACTTTTTTGATTTTTAGTTATTCCTTATCAGAGCACTTCTCCCAAGAGCGCACAATTCCCTATATATTATATATATCTCACTCTATATCCTATGCACACAACAAAAAAAAAAGAAATCGACTGAAATGATAAATGATTTTATGATTTTGTTTCTCAGCATACATATTCATTTACTACTGAGATGCAATCACAGTTTTATCACCCATGCTTGCACCGATTCTTCAGATACACCCCACACAGATACACCCACACCGACACACACACCTCATTTATTGTAAAATAATTACACACACCGCACATGAAAAAGTTGAAAAACCGCTTGAGCAATATTTACTAACCAACTCTATAACTGCCACTAACTAAATACTTACTTTTGATTTATTTATTTTTTTATTGTTTATTATTTGGTGATCGGTTCCTGAACCCACAAAATTAAACCCCCATAGTTGATACTAACCCCATCCTACTTGTTTGCTTTATTGTTATGATTTTTGTGTTGGTGTCGGTCTAGACAGTTTAGACATTAAATCTTTAATGTAAAAGTATTGTAATTAATTATTGTAGACCTGTTTTTTTTTTGAAAACCCACTGTAGTTTTTTAAACAAACTATTAAATGTAGTTAGAATCTAGATAGTAGTAATTGTATCTTGTAGTTAAAAACGTGAGCATGTGAAATGAATAGTCTTCAATGAAAATTACTAATCGAACGCTATCTATAAATTTTAAATTTCCTATCCAGATAACGGTAAATATAACCCTAACGCCAACGATGGTCGCTATTCTGGTGAGTTTCCTGAACTTCCCATTTTCTTTAAATAAGCATACTTATTTGTATATTATTTGCGATTACAGGTATTAACGATGGCAAATATTATCACGATGATTCGGGCAAATATGTTCACGTTGAAGGCCCAACTGGACCTCCAGCACCCCCATATGTCCATGTGGTTGGACCCGAGGGCGGATACGGCGGCGAGGGCGGCAACGGAGACGGCGGCGGCGTAGGCCCAGGCGGCCCGAACGGACCCGGCGGACCAAAGGGACCCGGCGGTAATAATTAGTAATATCAATGGCTATATCTGAATCTTTTATTTACTTTTTAATTATATTCATAGGCCCCAAGGGACCCCCCGGACCTCCCGGACCCCCCGGACCACCTGGTAAGATTAAATAATCCACCAGCAAAAGGATATTATTCCTGAAATCGCTGTTTATGGCTTAGGTGACCACTCTACATGTAGAGTTGCAACATAACTTAAGCTTTTCGAATCAAATAGGCCATGACTTATCGATTTTTTTCTCGATTTCAAATAATTTTTTCTAATACCCTCTGGGCAATGGCATTTAAAATCATTACAGCCAGTCCCTTCGGACCGAAAGGTTCCTTCTTCGTCTTATTTTCTGTTTTTTATTTTTATTTTTATTTTATTTAATTTGTTTTCCGTTTTTTTTTCCATTTTAAATATTTTATGAGCCAGAAAAAAAAGGATTTTAAGTTTTTATTTTACTCATATAGACAATGGATGCTTCATAACTAAAAGTGAAAGCTTCTTCAGAAATGTTTTTATTTTTATAATTTTATTTTTAATTTTTGCTTGAAACTATTATCAATATTCCTTATTCATCAAGAGACTCAGCAGGCCTTCCTTTCATAATTTTTTTGTATACCTTCTTTTACCAAAAAAGATATTTCATTTGACATTTATAATTTTTACTTTAATTAAAATCGATGGGTCGTAGATCTAAATCACTGAATGGAGAAGGCTTTAACGGATCTCCTTTTACCTTATATTTCTTTTTACTTTTTTTATTTTTATTTTAGTTATGTTATTTTTCCCTTGATTTCCCCAATAGCACCCTCTTTTATCAACCTAAATAGTAAACAATTTCAATTTTTTTTTATCCTACACATATAAACAATGGATGCTTCATAACTAAAAGTGAAAGCTTTTTCAAAAATGTTTTTTTTTTTTATAATTTTATTTTTAATTTTTACTTAAAACCATTATCAATATTCATTATTCAAAATCATCAGGACCTCCCGGACCTAAGGGACCAACCAAGCCTGGACCTAAAGGTATATTTTGTAAACTTTATTTGGTTTTCATTTATTAATTTCTAAATTAAAAAATTTCAGGACCTTTCGGACCTCCTGGACCACCCGGACCTCCTGGACCTACCGCTCCCGGCCCATATGGACCCCCTGGTCCTCCCGGACCAACCCGCCCTGGCCCACCAGGACCTCCCGGACCAACCCGCCCTGGCCCACCAGGACCTCCCGGACCTACCCGCCCTGGACCCCCAGGTAAATGCCATTGTAACTATAAACATTGGAGATAATTAACAAAAAATATGATTTATTGTAGGACCCACTCGCCCTGGCCCACCACCACCACCCAACGATCCTCGTTACTCGGACAAGGAGACTCCCGGCTACCTGCCACCTGTCCAACCGGGTAAAATTTCCAAAATTCCGCCCCCATCCTACTCACAAGTCATTCAAGTTGAACCCCCAAAAGTAGTTTATAAGCCGAATTACGAAAAGAATGATGATTATGTGCAGAGAGTAACCACTAAGCCACCACTAACCTATATTCCTCCTTCTCCTTCCACTCCCAAACCCTATGTTCCCGTTCCTGTTCCGCCATCCCAAAAAATCACGACGATCGTACAGCCAAAGGTCCCGGCTATCACTATTGAGAAGGATAAGCCTAAGAGCGTTCCGCCACCGCCAGTGACACCGGGTAAAGTTGAAAAGAACACATACCTACCGCCACCACCACCGACTCCAAAATACGTGACCAAGACATCGACACCCGCACCGATTCCGGTGCAACCGTACCAACCCTCGACCCCCCGACCTTTTGTGGTTAATACCGCCACCCCAGTTCCCCAGACTCCGCCGACTATCAAATACCATACGCCACAGGTACCGCCAGTGACTGTTCCTCCGTACAAGCCCGTGACCGCGAGACCGACACCACCACCCCAAGTTTACGTTGAACCCAAAGTAACGCCACGTCCCTCTCCACCATTGCATGTGCCATCGATCAGCGAGTCCTGTGTGTGTAACGCCGATAAGACGCACTCATCGAAAAGCACCCTTACCTCCACCACCACCACCACCTCAACCACCTATCCCAATCCAGCCTCTGTTGACTTTAACAAACAATTTTCCGGCTTCAACGGACAAGCGAACTTTGGCAGCATAATAAACGCCATGTCACTAACACAACTGCCGGTGATACCTCAAGCTCCTGGACAGCCGGCCTTCTATCCCCCGGACAAGATCCCCAAGGGGGCGGTGATCGCACTCATGCCGGTGGTTATCTTGCCGCAGGAGTACTATTCAAGCTGCGAAGAAAATTCTGTCTACCAACACTCGAACATCGATCCCTTCCCGCTGGGCGTTCAGCCGGCTTCGTTCAGTCTCCACTCCGTCCTGACTGGCTCCGCCCCCAAGGACCAATGCATGTGCCCCTGCTCCTGCACCCAGAATCTGCCAGGACGATTGCACAAGAAGCGCGAGGCGAGCGATGCCGATGCCCCAGTTGTGGTCAAGGCCGAGCCCGAAGTAGAAACTAAAGCTGAGCCCATTCCGGCCGCTTCCGAGGAGGTCAAGGTTCAGGTTGAGCCCAAGCCAGTTGCCCCCGAAGAGGTTAAGGGGAAAGTAGAGCCCGCTGCTTCCGAGGAGGTCAAGGTGCAGGTTGAGCCCAAGCCAGCTGCCTCCGAAGAGGTGAAGGAAAAGGTTGAGCCCGTGCCAGCAGCTTCCGAGGAAGTTAAGACGAAAATCGAACCCGAGGAAGCCAAAATCCTGGCTGACCCTAAACCAGAAATCAAGGCGACTAGCGAGACGAACTAAGACAAGGACATAAAGAAAAACCAATCCAATCCTTATCCCCAATCCAATCCCAACCTCAATCCTACCTCCCCGAAAAAAAAGCAAAAACTAAACCTAGTCTAAGTGTTTTTAGTGTCTGCCAATTAGGGCCGAAACAGCATTTAAAAAATGGGCAAATCAGCTTGGAGCCCGGCGCATGTGTTCGCTTTCTTGTGTTATAGATTGGATTTAAACGATTACGTAATCAGCAGTTTTTGGATAAATGCACTCCAGACCGCCTGTCCACGATCCACGCCGATGCTCTCCATGTAAAATATCATCTTAAACTATATAACTATACTATATAATCGAAAAAGGTGAGAGCACCGGAAAATTGGCAAATTGATAAAATTGTTTTGTGACATTTTGTTTATTATGCATTTTGTGTATGCTTCTTTATTATTTTCTTTATGATTTTGTTCAGTTTTATTTCTTTATGATTTTTTAAAAACTTTAGTTCTTAGTTTATTTAATGTCTACTCTAATAATGATTGAGACGGAATAATGAATTGTTATGTCAAAAGAAAAATATCGAAATTGAATAAAAATTAAGAAAAAAAAATTAAAAATGGTTTACTTTTTTTTAAAGGATGGGAGGGTCTGTTGGGGAATTGATTTTGAACTAATAATAAAACATAATAAGTAAAGGTAAATATATAATATTTTGGCCATACAAATTGGGCAAGATACAGTCATCGATGTGGGCCATTTGGGCCTTTCATGCATTTTCCCCAATTCCGGAAGGGGGTCATCCAGAAAATTTGACAAAAAATGTAAAAAATTATTTGTTTCTAGATTTTGATGCAGATTGATGGAGAATCGATCTAGAAATCGTTTAAGGTACTCCGCTCAAGAATCGGATAAAAATTGGGCAAGATACAGTCATCGCTGTGGGCCATTTGGGCCTTTCATGCATTTTCCCAATTTCCGGAAGGGGGTCATCCAGAAAACTTGACAAAAAATACAAAAAATAATGTGTGTCTAGATTTTAATGCAGATTGATGGAGAATCGATCTAGAAATCGTTTAAGGTACTCCGCTCAAGAATCGGATAAAAATTGGGCAAGATACAGACATCGCTGTGGGCCATTTGGGCCTTTCATGCATTTTGCCAATTTCCGGAAGGGGGTCATCCAGAAAATTTGACAAAAAATCTAAAAAATTATTTGTTTCTAGATTTTGATGCAGATTGATGGAGAATCGATCTAGAAATCGTTTAAGGTATTCCGCTCAAGAATCGGATAAAAATTGGGCAAGATACAGACATCGCTGTGGGCCATTAGGGGCTTTCATGCATTTTCCCAATTTCCGGAAGGGGGTCATCCAGAAAATTTGACAAAAAATCTAAAAAAAAATATGTTTCTAGATTTTGATGCAGATTAATGGAGAATCGATCTAGAAATCGTTTAAGGTACTCCGCTCAAGAATCGGATAAAAATTGGCCAAGATACAGTCATCGCTGTGGGCCATTTGGGCCTTTCATGCATTTTCCCAATTTCCGGAAGGGGGTCATCCAGAAAATTTGACAAAAAATCTAAAAAATAATTTGTTTCTAGATTTTGATGCAGATTGATGGAGAATCGATCTACAAATCGTTTAAGGTACTCCGCTCAAGAATCGGATAAAAATTGGGCAAGATACAGACATCGCTGTGGGCCATTAGGGCCTTTCATGCATTTTCCCAATTTCCGGAAGGGGTCATCCAGAAAATTTGACAAAAAATCTAAAAAATTATTTGTTTCTAGATTTTGATGCAGATTGATGGAGAATCGATCTAGAAATCGTTTAAGGTATTCCGCTCAAGAATCGGATAAAAATTGGGCAAGATACAGACATCGCTGTGGGCCATTAGGGGCTTTCATGCATTTTCCCAATTTCCGGAAGGGGGTCATCCAGAAAATTTGACAAAAAATCTAAAAAAAAATATGTTTCTAGATTTTGATGCAGATTGATGGAGAATCGATCTAGAAATCGTTTAAGGTACTCCGCTCAAGAATCGGATAAAAATTGGCCAAGATACAGTCATCGCTGTGGGCCATTTGGGCCTTTCATGCATTTTCCCAATTTCCGGAAGGGGGTCATCCAGAAAATTTGACAAAAAATACAAAAAATAATGTGTGTCTAGATTTTGATGCAGATTGATGGAGAATCGATCTAGAAATCGTTTAAAGTACTCCGCTCAAGAATCGGACAAAAATTGGGCAAGATACAGTCATCGCTGTGGGCCATTTGGGCCTTTCATGCATTTTCCCAATTTCCGGAAGGGGGTCATCCAGAAAATTTGACAAAAAATCTAAAAAATAATTTGTTTCTAGATTTTGATGCAGATTGATGGAGAATCGATCTACAAATCGTTTAAGGTACTCCGCTCAAGAATCGGATAAAAATTGGGCAAGATACAGTCATCGCTGTGGGCCATCTGGGCCTTTCATGCATTTTTCCCAATTCCGGAAGGGGGTCATCCAGAAAATTTGACAAAAAATACAAAAAATAATGTGTGTCTAGATTTTGATGCAGATTGATGGAGAATCGATCTAGAAATCGTTTAAAGTACTCCGCTCAAGAATCGGACAAAAATTGGGCAAGATACAGTCATCGCTGTGGGCCATTTGGGCCTTTCATGCATTTTCCCAATTTCCGGAAGGGGGTCATCCAGAAAATTTGACAAAAAATCTAAAAAATAATTTGTTTCTAGATTTTGATGCAGATTGATGGAGAATCGATCTACAAATCGTTTAAGGTACTCCGCTCAAGAATCGGATAAAAATTGGGCAAGATACAGTCATCGCTGTGGGTCATTTGGGCCTTTCATGCATTTTCCCAATTTCCGGAAGGGGGTCATCCAGAAAATTTGACAAAAAATAATTTGTTTCTAGATTTTGATGCAGATTGATGGAGAATCGATCTACAAATCGTTTAAGGTACTCCGCTTAAGAATCGGATAAAAATTGGCCAAGATACAGTCATCGATGTAGGCCATTTGGGCCTTTCATGCATTTTCCCAATTTCCGGAAGGGGGTCATCCAGAAAATTTGACAAAAATCTAAAAAAAATATGTTTCTAGATTTTGATGCAGATTGATGGAGAATCGTTCTAGAAATCGTTTAAGGTACTCCGCTCAAGAATCGGATAAAAATTGGCCAAGATACAGTCATCGCTGTGGGCCATTTGGGCCTTTCATGCATTTTCCCAATTTCCGGAAGGGGGTCATCCAGAAAATTTGACAAAAAATACAAAAAATAATGTGTGTCTAGATTTTGATGCAGATTGATGGAGAATCGATCTAGAAATCGTTTAAAGTACTCCGCTCAAGAATCGGACAAAAATTGGGCAAGATACAGTCATCGCTGTGGGCCATTTGGGCCTTTCATGCATTTTCCCAATTTCCGGAAGGGGGTCATCCAGAAAATTTGACAAAAAATCTAAAAAATAATTTGTTTCTAGATTTTGATGCAGATTGATGGAGAATCGATCTACAAATCGTTTAAGGTACTCCGCTCAAGAATCGGACAAAAATTGGGCAAGATACAGTCATCGCTGTGGGCCATTTGGGCCTTTCATGCATTTTCCCAATTTCCGGAAGGGGGTCATCCAGAAAATTTGACAAAAAATCTAAAAAATAATTTGTTTCTAGATTTTGATGCAGATTGATGGAGAATCGATCTACAAATCGTTTAAGGTACTCCGCTCAAGAATCGGATAAAAATTGGGCAAGATACAGTTATCGCTGTGGGCCATCTGGGCCTTTCATGCATTTTTCCCAATTCCGGAAGGGGGTCATCCAGAAAATTTGACAAAAAATCTAAAAAATAATTTGTTTCTAGATTTTGATGCAGATTGATGGAGAATCGATCTACAAATCGTTTAAGGTACTCCGCTCAAGAATCGGATAAAAATTGGGCAAGATACAGTCATCGCTGTGGGTCATTTGGGCCTTTCATGCATTTTCCCAATTTCCGGAAGGGGGTCATCCAGAAAATTTGACAAAAAATAATTTGTTTCTAGATTTTGATGCAGATTGATGGAGAATCGATCTACAAATCGTTTAAGGTACTCCGCTTAAGAATCGGATAAAAATTGGCCAAGATACAGTCATCGATGTAGGCCATTTGGGCCTTTCATGCATTTTCCCAATTTCCGGAAGGGGGTCATCCAGAAAATTTGACAAAAAATCTAAAAAAAAATATGTTTCTAGATTTTGATGCAGATTGATGGAGAATCGTTCTAGAAATCGTTTAAGGTACTCCGCTCAAGAATCGGATAAAAATTGGCCAAGATACAGTCATCGCTGTGGGCCATTTGGGCCTTTCATGCATTTTCCCAATTTCCGGAAGGGGATTATCCAGAAAATTTGACAAAAAATCTAAAAAAAAATATGTTTCTAGATTTTGATGCAAATTTATTGATGGAACGGGGACTGTTAGGGAACTGATTTTGAACTTATAGTAAAATATAAATAAAAGCCGAGCTTAAAATTGGGGTTAAGCCTTACATGAGCGCCACTGGTGGCCATGTTTTAAAAATTGGATTTTGACCATACAGTGTTGGCCACACCCAAAAGTATACTAGTAATAAGCGTTAAATATAAATATTGGAAAAATAAAGATTTAAGGCTTCAAAAACCTTGCATTATATTAAAATTAACTTTACTTTGCCCCAAAGGCTGTGAGACTCCATTTAGAATGGAAACATTTTTTTTATAGATACTGGGGAACCGTATAATTGAAATTTATTGAAGGAAGCAGACACCACCAAATAAAATTCTGGCAACAAAATGTAGCAAACAAGTGAAAGCAAGCTCTTGAAAGCTACAAGCTCTTCTACAAAAAAAGATATATATAATCATCAATTTCATCTTTAAAAAGGTCAGATATCTATAATTTTGTTCAGTTTTTGATCAATTTGTAAGTTTTTCTCAAGTTCATATTCTTTTATGTTCTTATGAGTTCTTGGCTCACGTTTATTCTGCGTGAAATGGTTGTTAAGTGAAAAATCTTACAACGAAATTCCCCCTTTCCCAGGTGAAAGTAAGTATCCTGTTTTGCTGTTTTGTGCTTTTTTGAAGGACCTACGTCTAGCTCCTCGGAAAATGCCCTGAAACGTGTATGAGCACAAACAAGAACAGGCAGTGAAGCCAAAGTGAAATTGAGACTTTTGTTTATTTTGTGCTGTGCTGATGTTTTTGGTTCAATTTTATTTTGGCCAAATGGAATAAACTGGAATTCATTTCAATAAAATACCTGACAGGATAGCTGGCATGAATAGTATTAGGCTTACGGCAAGAGGAAGTCAATCAAGATGCTTTAAAAGGAATTTCTTATATAAAAGCAAAATATTTGAGGCCTGAAAAGCAATGTAATTATTTTGAAAAAGTATTTTACTTTAAAAATTTGTACTGAATAGACAATTTGGGCTTGTAAAAGCACCCACCTTGAGTTGATGTGTAACCCAGTTTTGGCCAATTTTTACGACTACAAAAAGTCAATAGCTGAAGACCTAAAATATTCATAACCAACCCGCATGCCGCCAAAAAACCCGATACTTTTCACACTTTTGTTTCTTTTCTTTGAGTTGTAAACTCTTCAGTTGGCTTAGCGCTTAACTGGAGGTCAAAACTTAGGCCCAACACAAATAAACTTTCAGATAATTTCCCAATCTTTCCCGTCGCATGCGTCGAAGCCAGAAATTTTTATGAATGAAAATAGAAACGCTCAAGGTCTTCTGGCTTGTAATGTTATGGGTTCTGGCCGCGACACTAAACTTATTATCGGTGTGAGGGCGGGTATTATGCAATAGAATAACAGAAAAAGTTAAACAAAGCCAAGAAGACCCAGCGAAGAGTCAACTAACTCAAATATTTGGCCGGCAAACTTTCTGTGGATAATTGGAATTATAGATATACTAAACAAGCACGACCTGGGCTCGCATTTCGCGGCTCACAGCGTCCGGCATTCTCATTCATTGGAGGATGGCGGTAAAACTTGAAAGAAATTCGATCTGTGAACTAAGGGTAAACATTAAATTTGGTTTACCGGGGCGGGGTTTTTTCTCTGTTTCAGTTTTTTGTATTTTGGTTTCTGTTTAGCTATTTGTGTTTGTTAAAGTTTTTGAAAGGCAAACAGCAAATAGCTAAAATTAAACCCAACTCACGCACTTGCAAGACGAGGCATTTATTTTGTCACCTGCCTCGTGAAATTGAGAATATTACGCGCATTATTAATAATAATACATAATAATAGCGACAATGGCAGAAAAGGTCTTCTGGCATCCCTTGCAATAACGCTTAGAATAAACAATTTCGAGAACTGTTTAGGGCTGGATAGTATCTTGAGTCTCGAGACTCCAACTCTTTGAAGTTTCCCATTTGTTGAGCAAAAGTTTCGCATTCGGCCGCCACAACGTGTCGTATGAGTAATAAAACGAAGCTTGGCTTCTAAGTGAGATACTAAAAAGTGGGAGGCTTTGTTTTTTGTCTGCTGGCTGGTGGTGTTGTTTTAGCTTCGGTTTGTTTGTTTCGGCAACGTCGACAGCGACTTCACTTGAGCGTAGCAACTCAGCCGGAAAATGAAAAATATAAATTGGCCTCTCGTCTGAGAAACAGAATTATTTAACGTCCAACAATCGTGGCAGGCAGTTGTCTTGGTTTCAAAGCTCCTTTACCGAAAAGTTTCCATTCGGTTTCAAATTGTTTCCTGTCGATAAATTTAAAAATTTTAGAACGCCAAATATGCTCATCAAGCTGTTTATGCTAATGGTGAGTGCTCCCAATCACATCCAATTTGTGTGACAACCCAAGCCTCCTTCTAGCTGGCCGTATCCGGAGTGTGGAGTGGCGTCCTGCCGGAAAATCAGGTGGCAACAGCGGCCAGGACAACGACAGGGGATTTGGACACGGCTGCCACATCCGCCAAGCGTAAGTACACATGGGTGGGGGCTTACCGGGCACTGAATCATAATCAGAATCATAATAGAGAACGTCAATGCTTTTAGTGCTCAATCTGTTTGGCTCGGGATACCCCAACTATGGCTATAATTACAACCGACCTAGCAATGGCTACTATCCCAGCTATCCCAGTTATTATGGATCTTCCAACTACTATCCCAACACAGGGTACTATGGATCCTCTAATGTCTATTCCAGCCAAGGATATGTTCCAAATAATTACTACTCCGGAGGTGGTAGTTACTATCCCACGACGAATATCCTGGGCACCCAAGGATACGGCGGCTATGGCGGCTATGGAGGTAATGGAGGTTTGAGGCAGTACTCGGGCTACTGGCAGAGGGACTATCAGGGCCAGAGGAATCGAGGTTATGGCTACTACAGCGATACAGATCGCTATGGCCTGCCACTGTCCAGGGATCGATCCTATGGCTCTTACTCCTTCCGTGGCTATGACTAAAATCCATGTGCTTTGTGTTTGTGTCGCTTGTTATTGCTCTTTTGTTACAGCTGTCTAACCCCCCAGCCCCGACTAATAATAAAACCAAAATTTGTAACTCAATTGCTACTAACTTGATGTGTAACCTGTCGCTTTGGCTTTGCGCGTAATTAATTTGCTTCTAGGTTACATTCAAATTACCTGCGGACACGCCCAATTGCACCCACAAATCTGTCCATTTGTCATTCATTCATATTCCAGATGCTCTCAGTGCTTCTGTGGCTGCGTCTGTCTGTGCACTTTGGCGGCTTCGGCCCAAAAGTTGGCTTTCAATTTCGGTTGCTAGCTGGCCTGTCGCGTTGCCAACTTTCTGAATATATATTGTTCTTTCATTGCAGGCGGCTATGTGCGCACGACTTATGGCTAATACAGTCATTGGCCAAGACCGTCTCAAGAACTTAACCAAATGTCACGCTCCGGCACGCAGCCCGCAAACATATCACAAAAAATCGTAAACTTATATATTCGCAATTTATTAGGCAACATCAAATCACAACCAGCACAACAACCTCCTCCAGTGGGATATATTTTTGGCAAACCACTTTAACGGCACCGCACTCGGCACTGCCTTAAGTTTTGATGTTTCTGCGGGGGTGACAAAGTCTCCGGCTTCCCCAACAACTAAGTCTTAAAATTTAAGTTAAAAAGTCATGTTTATGTTTTCCCCTTCGACGCGGCTGCTGTATCCCACCAACTCGTAAATGCAGTGAAGTAAACTTTTGGCCAGAATTTTCCGAGACGGCGGAAACCCTGCGGAAAAGTGCACCTCCTTCAACTTGAGAGCATGTACTGAGGGCAATTTGTGATAACCTAATAGATTTCCCTTGTAAAAATAAAGCAACATTTTTGTACAAATTTATGCGAGACCATAGGAAAATTAATTAAACTGAATGTAGCTGTGGAAAATTCTCCCCAACAACATCTTAAAGTCTGCTTAAGAAAAACAATCAACAATGAAAAGGCAATCTGAGTGCTGCACCGACCAACAAACTTGAACGAAAATATTTGTAAAATTTTGGAAGATTTTCCATTTCTTTAAAGGCAAAACATTAAAGTTGTTCAAAGCTATTCCCTTGTTTAAAATGATACAAAATGAAATGATAATTAAAATGTTGCTCTGGCATGTTTTTATTTCCCTAACACATGACATGCCAAAAATTCCAAATAGAATTCCTCCGCATAATAAATACTGAAAAAATTTCCGTTCATACAATCAGTGGGTTTTTTAATCTATTAAATAGACTCGTATTTACTTATTCATTCGCATTTGACTCTTTTCGGTTGGTTCCATTGAATGCGCTGCTTCCTTCCGTGCAGCTATAAAAATACAAAACAATACACCGACGCAGCCAAGAAAAAGAGATGATAGGTACAGATACAGATATATAACCTTATGGGTGAACACCAAGTACAAACATTTCATAAAGAATTTTTTTTTCTTGCCTCAAATTTTATCTGCAAATTGTTTAGAACATTCTCACACAAACAGATAGAATTCTCTGGTCATTAAAGTGAACAAATTATGATCAAATGGAATTGAAAGAATATGTTTTGCCTTTATTTTGTTTTGGTCTTAATTTATTTCTACTGTTTATTATTGTTCGGCTGTGCTCTACATTAAAGGCAAATAAAAATAATTAAGCTGCGCGAGCCACAATAAATAAAAATAAAGAAAAACCGATAAAAAGTCTGGCCCAAGGGGGAAAATGGAATTATTTATTTGCCGAGCGGCTTGGATTAAATGCCGCATCACGCGTTGAAATCTAATGTTAACAACATTTTAATTAACGGACCAGCACAGGCGGATTCGGTGACAATAAATACACCAACAAATAATGCAAAAATTATTGCATATAATTGCTGGAGATATTGAACAAATGAGCACCGCACCAGTTTGTTCGCAGCAAATATTTGCCCGGGCATTAAATTACGAAAATAAAATTGCAATTTGTGGCGCCGGCAGGTCACGAGAAATAAGCTAAATAAATTTCGACTTTTCTTCTGGATACAAAAGGGTCAAGCCAAGTTAAAGTTGGGAAATTATTGTTTAAATTAAAAATTTCATCAAGTCGGTCAGTCGGAAAAACCGTCCACAAAATCACAAGCTTTTCGTCACGTTCTTATCGTTCTTGGAAAAGTGTTTCCTTTTCTATAGGAAAATGGGGCAACTTTTTCATTGAAGTTCATAATTTGCCGCAGCTGCTGTTGCAATCCAAAACTAAACACCAAGTGTGGTAATTGCGGAAAGACTCTTGTGGATCTTTTGGTGCAAATTGTGTGCCAAGGTGGCCCGAATAATTGTGGAAGAACTTTGTCCTGCTTAGCCAAACAGATTTTCTTTCTCGAAAGTTTTCCCTTTCACGCTGTTCAATGGAACAAGAATTTGCTTTCAACTAAAAAGAAGGGTTTTTCATGGGGTATCTACCAAAAACAGTGGCATGATTTAAATTAAATTGAGAAAATTTGATGTCCAAGTGGCTAATAGACAGCAGCTGGCCCGAAAGGATAGGCTTGGTATTTGTTTTCGCAGAACAAAAAGGTCAAAGGTCGTGTCTTAAATTTATTATGACCCCATACGTCATCTTCTCGGTTTGGCATCTGCAATGCGAAAAGGGTTTTTTCTTAAATCAATTTGGGATAATGGAATTATTTAACAATATTCAGAGCCTTAAAGTGGGGTTTTATTTAAACATTAAAAGAATAAATAAGATGAGTTTTCTGAAAAAAAATGCCTTCCATTTCACTTTAAAAGCTTTAAAGACTCAACGCATAAAATCTATATTTCTCGTACAACTGCACCAACAAAATGGACACTTTTATTATCAATTTATCAATATGCTAACCAATAATTAGATGCCTTTTTTTGGGGCGTTGCAAAATTCTGCGCCAAATTATATATGATATGGCAAAAAACTCGCTTTCGTCTGGCTTTGTTTAATCGTGCTTTTCCGGCTTTATATAGAAGTTGTGTCTTTGTGTCACTTCTTAAAGCGAGTTCATTATATGGCATGCTTACCTAATTAACACCTGTACAGGCGCCACGTGCTTCAGATTTAATTTATATCTCAAACATCACAATGTAAGCCAGTCCAAAGATCATAAAACCTGGTATTGTTTAGGTCGAAATAGGGAACACCAATTTGGTTGACTGATTCGAATCATAAATTTTGGTCCGCTGAACAAACAAATGCAAAACCCTAGGGCCTAGGCTAATGATAAGTTTAGCACGTGTCGGCGGAAGGAAGCCAGACTATAAATGATTCAAAATCATTATCAAATCGCATTTTGTTTTGTTTGTGTTTTCCATTAACAGAAAACAAGAGAAAATGAGATAGACAGAGAGGGTAAACAATAAACGGAGTGTGTATAATACGGTGGAGTGGTGAGTGGGGAGCTATCTGACCCATGGCATCGATTTAAGCCATGTTATTTATTACAGATAAATCAAAACAAATCGCTTGTTAACATTCGCCATTTGCAACGAAACGGAATTCATGCATAAATGCATTTTATTATATGCGTAAAAAATGTAACCCAAACAAAAAGCCTGAGAACTGAATTAAGGGGATGCCGAAATGGATAAACCACAATTCGGGCATTTTCATTCAATTCGCATTCAGGAAAAGAGGAGAGCCCATAAAAAAAACACTTCACAAGTCAAATAATCAAACAGCCAAGCCAAAAGCCAAAGCCAGACAGGTAAATCAATCAATTTGCTGTATACACATAAAAGAATATAAAAAAGCTTTGAATTAAAGAAATTGTAGTATTTATCCTGGGCTTCAATGATACTCGAGGATGCCAAGTGAAAATGTATTAAAATTAAATTTTAATGCCCCACTGACTAGCCTCTGTGAAGTAAAGTCAAGTAGAATGCACTGAGGTAGTAATTTAATTAATTAAGGAAATTAACAGAGTTTTGTCCGCGCAAGACCCGTTTGATCGAGTCTGTAAACAAAAAGTTTTCTAGATAATGCGAATTTAGTTAAATTAGTTTGTATTTCATTCAATTCGCACCCGAATACTAATGGACGCCACGATGCCAGGGGCTCGAAATCTGTTTGAATAACAATCTTAAGTAAGTGAGATAGATTTTCAATATTTGTAGCTCTTCATTGTAGAGTTTCTGGCACTGATTGGCTATAAGGAGGCTCAAATATCAAATTAAAGAAGTTAAAAGGCAATTAAATGTGTACATAAAATTGATATTTTAAGCTTAATCCCCTGGCGTAATTTAATATGCTAGCATTGTAATAAAATATTTAAAGGCTACTCTAGAGAGTGCTTCTTAAATCTTGTTATCCTCGTCACCTTTAACCTGAGCCGATTTTTGGCCAAATCTTATTTTCCGTCTGGCTCAAACTCATTTGCTTCGGGCTTGTCTGTCTATCCAAAAAAAAAAAACAATCGCACTGGGTTATCAGAACCCCTAAGGTGGGTCATTGATGGCCATTGTCTTGCATGTGTACCTCCTGATGAGCCTTTTGTCCTTACAATCAATTTAAAAAGCCCTCTGAAGTACATGGTAGTGATGGCCTTGGCTTAAAGGCTCGAATTTAAAGGAAATTGTATACATAAGCTCTGGTGAAAGATTATATGACTGACAATAACAAATATGTGATGAAATATTAATCATTGTGGAGACAATCATCATAAACAATAGGGAAATGGCAATTGCTTAGAAATATTTTGTTACACTAAAGCATATATAAGAATATCTATTAGTCTCGTATAACGTTAATTACTTAGTCTGCCCTCAGTCCCTTCAACAAACCCACCATTTAATGACAACTAACTGGCCTAGCAATTAGAAAACCTTGCCGAGACGACTGTCTGGGCTTGATATAGTCTACGGAAGTGGGGAAACTCCACTAGAAATCCACTTAACTCAATATTAAATGGTAATTACCGATTCAACAATATCCAGGCACAGAAACTTTCACTTATCTGTATCAATTTTGTTGTGGGGGAGGCAATAAAGGGCTGGTTGTTGTCGATTTTGTTTTGAGGTGGGTGGCAGGCATAATCAGTAAACAAATAGTCGAGTATACAAAAGTGAAACAGTCGAGACACGCCCAGACTCCCAGCTGAATTGGCGTTGGATTTTTTATGGATTTATATTAACAGCGCCACAAAAGAAGGCAAATTGATTAAGATTTCTTTTGGGGCTGCACCTGAGTTTTTCGGTCGTGTCATTCGCAACTTCTGACGTATGCGTATTCTTGGCCCGGCATTTTGAGATAAAAAAAAAAACAGGGAGATGGTGTGTGTGCGCGCGCCTGCCCCTCTTTGTATCTGTGTGTGTTCGAGTGTAGGGGAATCAATAGAAGCCGGCACGCAAAAAAAAATATCCAAAATTAACAGCCTGCCTGCCGAGCTGCCATTGCCATCAGTTGGCTCTGAGAGCTTTTATCGTGCGGTTGTGGGCTCGCGATCGAGAAACTGTATCAAAAATATATTAAACTGTTTGCTCGACAAAATTCACTCAAATTTATTCGACATTGATTAGCCAGCTAGCGCCTAACCGCGATTAACGCCAAAAAATCTACAAAAATAATACACAGAATAAGTGCATAAAACGCTGAAAATATTATTTGAAAACTAATTTCTCGGTGCTGCTATCTAATTGTACGAGTTTAAATAAACACAGATACAATTTTGTTTGCTCGGGTGCTGATTATGGCCGTTAAGCAAATGACCGCGGAGTCAATAGAGAAATAACCAGAAGGCTAATTGCATCGGGCGGGTAAATGAGAATTCATTAATTAATTACGGAACGCATTTAAATCCATTGGAGAAGTAATTAATTTTGTTGAATACGGTGAGTAGTGCATCCATAAAACGATTTACAAACGATCGAATGGATATCCAAAAAAAGGACTTAAATTGTCCTTTTTATTGCAATTAAGTGTATTTAATTCACACTCTGTAAGCATATTAAAAAGTTTGAAAGGCGATGGGAACCGATGACAGGCCATTTGATTGGGGTTCTTGCATGAATAAACAATAATAAAAAATCTATTAAAACCGCATACACTACGACCATTTGTTTG